AGCGTCTTAGATAATGGGTGGTAGTCCGTGGACAAATATGAGAGAGCTGTCTTGGAAGCTACGGTTGGTAAAGGCATCATGTACGGTGACCACACTGGCAGAGCATACACGCTTCCAGCTTTGGACGCATCGGATAGCCTTTTCATTGGTTAATCGGAAGCCTATGCACGTCAGATTTAACTCCTGCTGCAAATAATCGGGGTGTATTACCTTCCAATCGTCGGAGGGCGTAGAAGTTGCCGTCCTTGCTTGACTGCGCTTTATATACCCAGCTAGGGTAACCGAAAATAGTTGCATTTTTCTGATGCGTCACATCAAGAGGGACAAGGGAATGGAAATGATCAATCTGAGTTGGGAGTTGGGAGTCTAGCAGTCGTTAGGGAAAAAGGAAAAAGTAGGCAGGACAGTAAAGGGAACATACTAGGCAGGGTTTGAAGTGTAGCGGCTGCCTTCTTCTGCAGCTCTTCTCTAAAGTCATTCGGGATGAATAGGTCATGGACATTTCGCTGGTATCCAAGAATGTTCTGGTTATGAGGTCCAATCGGGGCATAAAGATGATATTGAACCTGCTCTCGCCTTAGTACCGCGATATATAGCTAAACTGGGCTTGTCAAACGCACTGGTTGTTGAAAGGTGTTTTGGGAAGTGAAGTATGAAGTGGCACCGATGCCGGCGTGGTCGTGAGCGTAGGGATTCTGCTGAATCTGGTGGGTGACAACCGCGCCCGCACTTCCTAGTGATGTTGTCGAGGAGACAAACGGGTCAAATGCACTTGAAGCGGCCAAAACCCCGTTGTTCGTTGCCTGGATTGAGTCCTACACACTTAGTACACCGTCCATACGCTGGATAGGACCGGTACACACCACTGTCTCAAAACGCTGTGGCACAAAGTCAGGCACGTCCGTCAAGCCCCATTCCGGAGTTCCAGCTTCTTGACGTAGCTGAGATACCCCCGAGTTTGCACCTATCATAAAATCAGCAGCGCTTCTATACGTGTATATGTAATAAGGTTGAGCGTACGAGAGAGCGCGGCCTTGGGAAGAAAAGGTGCGGCACCGGCAGCCTTGGGAGACAACGTCGCCGGCTTCTTTGCGGTAACGGCCGTGGTGACGACACCGTTGCTGGGAGTGGTCGAGGGAGTGAAACTGGGCGACTCAACGTTCAACCGTTTCTGCTTGACGCCGGCGCCACTGCTACCGAGACATGAGCTATCCGAGCCTCAAGACAAATGCATAAAACGCATAGAATGCATCTCTCCAACCTTTCATGCTGCGCCGCATTCAGCTTCTGCGGATCATGATTAAACGCGCATCCTTGAGAGCGTTAGAACCCGGCCATAAAGGGGGGGGGGGGGGCATAAAGATGACCACCACACCTTTATCCTCATATCGACACCTGCCGTATATCGTCACATTGCGACAGAGCGTATCCTTTGCATTTTCTACAACTGACGGGTCAGTGTCAAAAAGATTAGATGGCGCTCTATAAACAAACGACAGCAACACGCGGGGAGTCTTCTTTTTCTGCAGCTTACCGCGCCCCTTCAGCTTTGGAGAACCATTGGTGCGTCTCCCGTCCTCGAGATTTGGTTTCCCTATAGATGCCATTTCCCTCCACAGGTCACAGCACGCGAAGTCAGCGCGAGAGAGGCCCCATCGGCTCTTTGGAGGAGCAGAAAGATCGTAGACGAGATCGATGAACGAACTCCGCGCATTCCTCTAGTTAAGCCAACCAACCCTTTTTTGTGGTGGGCGCGCGGCAAAAACGGTATTTATCTTATCTGCACCGCACAGCGCCAGCGCCCAGGTCAAGACAGCAGTCAGCCTCGAGCAGCAAAGTCCACGGTGAGAAGAGACGGGAGAAGACGAAGATGATAGAGCAGGAGGAAGAGTCGACCTTCTCGTCGACCTTTTTCTCTTTTTCTTTTCGTGGGACTTTTTGAGCTCTTTTTTTTTTTTTGATGAAATTCGCGATGTTCTCTTTTTTCTTCTTTTTGCTTATCGAAGAAAGCTATCAAGCGCCAAGACTGGAGTGAATACGGTAATATTACAGAGTTACCCATATACATACGGTCATGTGATGGTTATAATACATGATGTCTTACGTTACAGACAAACCGTGGCTTTTGACGAGGAGGAAGAAGAAGAAGAAGATATAAGAGAGGAGAAGGAAGAGAAGACGGGAAGACGGGAAGAAGACGACGAGCAGGATAGATAGTCTTGCACTGATACTGCCACGCAAGTGTGAGGAGTGGGAGGAAACCGGGTATATCTGCGAGCACACGCATGAGCTGGTCGATATAACATGGCCGGAGAGCACGGCGAGGGCGTCCAGCTCTCGACAAACCAGGAGAACACGCTGCAGACGTATCTGGCTGTGACGGGACAGGATCGGGAGGCCGCTATACCGCTGCTGAGACGCTCAGAATGGAACGTCCAGGTGAGTGACTCGCCACTACATGCAGGATACAGCTACTGATGATCTGTGTTGTATATAGATTGCCATCACCAAGTTCTTCGACGGGGAAGCTCCGGATCCTGTGGAGGAAGCTCGAGCGGCCATGGACTCCGCGGTGCCGGCTCCTATACCGCAGACTCGCCAGAACCTGGCTGCGGACATGGCCTACTCGAGCTCAGGCATTCTCTCAGCTGTACGGCAGACTGAGGCAGCTCCTAGGATTACGTCCCAGCCTTCCGATACGCCTCCGTTCCGCCCCCCCTTCATACTAGCTATCCTGTTTACTCCGTTTAATCTCATATATCGACTCCTCTCCAGCTCTCTCCGCCTGTTCGGCGCGTTATTCCCCTTTCTTCCACGCCTGTTCAGCAATATCTCAAGCTCGACCCTTTCCAACAAGTCCTCACAGGGACGAAGGTCTCTGGCTCCAAAGGATACTGCCGCACGGTTCATACGTGAGTTCGAGGAGGAGTATGGATCACATTCGTTGCCCTTCCTTGAAAACGGATATAACATGGCACTCGAGAGGTCACACAAGGACCTCAAGTTCTTGCTGGTTGTCCTGCTCTCCCCGGAGCATGACGATACCGATGTCTGGGTGCGGGACACTCTCCTCTCGCCAGAAGTGACTGCATACCTAAACGACCCTTCCAACAACGTCCTGCTATGGGGTGGGAACGTACAGGACTCCGAGTCATATCAGGTCGCAAACTCGCTCAAATGCACCAAGTTCCCCTTTGCGGTGGCTATTGCCCATACTCCCAGCGTCTCTTCCACCGCCATGTCGGTCATCGGCAGGATTCCAGGCCTTAGCTCTCCGTCGGAATTCCTTGAAAAGCTCCGAGCGGCTACCAACCAGCATAAGTCTTCCCTGGACCGTGTACGCTCCACAAGAGCCGAACAACAGGCTTCGCGAACACTCCGGCAGGAACAGGATTCCGCCTACGAGCGCTCTCTCGCCCAGGACAGGGAACGGGCGAGGCAACGTCGTGAAGCAGAAGCTGAGCGTGAGCGACAGGAAAGAGAGGCTAGGGAACAGCAAGCTGCGGCTGAGAAATATGCCAGGGACCTCCTACAGTGGAAACAATGGAGGGCCCAGTCGATACCCCCCGAGCCTCCCGCAGACAATAAAGATGCGATCCGTGTCAGTCTTCGTTTGACCTCTGGAGAAAGAGTGATACGGCGCTTCTCGGGGGACGCGGAAATAGAGGAAGTCTACGCATTTGTAGAATGCTATGACATTCTACATCCAAGCGAGGAAGAAGACAAAACTGACACATCAGACGTTACGGAGCCGGAAAATTTCGAGCACAAGTACGGATTCCGTCTCGTCTCGCCCATGCCCCGTGCTGTTTATGAATTGGAAGCTGGAGGGACGGTGAAGGAGCGGATAGGCCGAGGCGTTAACTTGCTAGTCGAAAGCATTGAGGACGACGACGACGACGACGAGTGATGGGTGGGTATAATGTTTATATGGGTTCATTCACTTCTACTATAGAGAAAATTCTTTCTTCGAGTGGTTACCCTGGAGTTATTGATATGGAGGACTAAACTTGATACTCATTGCATTAACTTTTTATCATTATATTTTTTTTTCTCTTCATCTTTTAAGATTGTTCATAACTATTATTGCTACTCGTTAAATTGTTAATAACATCGATTTAACGGCAGAAATCCTGTATCACTGCAGTTATCACACCTTCAGTTCTTCGGATGCTCTCAACATCAACCCATTCATACTCCGAATGAAGCCCAGCACCAGACTGCCCGAATACGATGGAAGGGATGCCCGCGTCATGAAGTAGAGCGGCGTCGGTCCAGGGGTCCAGTGCCTGAAACGGACAAGGCTCGCCATACACCTTGCCCGTAGCATCATACACACACCTGGAAAAGGGGTGGTCCTTTGCAATCTCAAACGGAGCCTTGTGAGCCAGTACCTGTGGAGGCCGATATTTGAATCCAGCCACCCGCTTCTTGATCTTAGCCAATATCCCACTGACATCTGCCACGATGGACTCCTTCGTCTGGACTGGGATAGTCCTGAATTCCACCGTAAGCTTGCATGAGGCGGGATAACTGTTCGGTTCGATTCCACCCCTGATCAAGCTGGCGTGGAGAGAGGCTCTGCCTAGATCACTATCCTCCGGCAGCGTAGATTCATATTCTTTCAGCGCCGTTAGGAAGTATCCGGAAAGTAAAATCGCATCAACTCCATCGTCGGGCCTTGATCCATGAGCAGCAACGCCCAATATCTCTATTTCCAGCCACGTCATTCCCTTGTGTGCATGAGCGATCGTTTCAAGGGTTGGTTCAACCACGATAGCGGCGTCAGCTCGCCAGCCGGCTTTCAGAAGTTCTTTGGTGCCAATAGATGAATATTCTTCGTCCGCAACCGCTGCTAATATGACGTCTCCGCGGGGTGGAGGGGACGAGGTTTTGGCGTGTGCCAGCGCTCTCATTGAAGCAGCAATACCAGCCTTCATATCTAGTGTGCCACGCCCTACCACTCTCTTGCGCCCATTAGAGGATACAGCCAGCTCTCCCGAAAGAGGATTGAGGCCAGACGAGTAGCTATCCAGTGTCACCGTATCGGTATGGCCGTTCATCATCAGGGATCTGCCTCCTCCAGTTCCACGCAGGATACCTATCACAGATGGCCTACCAGGGGTACCCTCCAGCCGATGAGCTTCCAGGTCTCGATGCTCTAGCCAGGAAATTATGTAGTCTGATATCTCGCCTTCACCCACGCCGCTAGGGTTCGACTCTGATGGGTTAGACGAGTTAATCTGCGTGAGAGTCTGAGTTAACTCGACACAGTCGTCTGAAGAGACGTCCTTTGGTGTGGTATACGGGCGGCTCCCCTCTGTCCCCAGGATAACGATGACAGAATCAGGGGATAAACCGATACAGGAGGGTTGCGTTTTAGCAACATGTCGTAGACCAGATAGACCTGCAGCACCGCAGGGCCCTACATTGACCCCTTTTGAACTTAGATACTGCACTCCCTGATGGGCCTCGTAGTCGGAGATGGTGACACTGGCATCGACTCCAGGCTGTAATATCGGCCATGCAATCGATGAGACAGTGCCACATTCCAGCCCGCTCATTATCGTCTTGGATACCTTCACCTGTGTCAACTGGCCTGCCTTCAAGCTCTTGTGCAGACAGGCAGCCACATCCGGCTCGACAGTGAGAACAGACACTTCCCTGCCTTTTGCTTTGTAGTGAGATACTACCGCTTGGCAGAGGGAGCCTACGCCCACAGGCGAGACTATCACCGTCGGTTTGAGCTCCATGTCCTGCAGCTGGCCATCAATCTCAGTCAACATCGTAGAGTAGCCATCGACAATCCAGGTGGGAATCTTCTCGTATCCTTCAAAGGCAGTGTCTTGAACTAAGATGAAATTTGGATGTTCGTCTGCCTTCTTCGCTGCTGCAGAGATTGCATTGTCATAGTCTCCCTTGACAACGGTGACTGTAGCCCCTTCGCTGGCTATCCGGTCTCGGATATGCTGGTCGAGATTCTTGCCAACAAAGACCTCGGAGGAGATGCCCAGTATCTTCGCCATGCGGCCAAGGGCCCGTCCATGGTTACCGTCTGTCGCGGCGAGCAGCTTGATACGTGCACTTGCGGCCGCGCGAGAGAGCTCCTCCAACGAAGGGCCCGGTAGATTAAGATGTGACGAGACGGCCAGGTAGACAGCCCATGAAGCACCGAGAATCTTGAAAGATGGAAGACCTAGACGGCTGCTCTCGTTTTTGATAAAGACCTTTGCCACTCCTAGTTCCTTTGCAAGCTTATCGAGAGAAACGAGTGGACTTGGTTCATATGAAGGAAGGGATTGATGGAACTGTTTCTCTGTGCCAGCGACCTCACGGTCGATCCTAAACTGCTTTGCATCTGGATTATGATAAATGGAACGGCGAGCCTGAGCCATTCTGAGTATCTTGATAGTTATCACCAGAGAAAGTGGATGATATTATTATGCTGAAGAAGTTGACTGCCCGAGGTCAATGTAAATACTTTGTCCAACCGACGCCCTACGCCTAAATTACAAGGCTATCTGGCAGCGACCGTCAGCTGGAGGCTTGAAGGGTCTCAATCTCGGCGCTACTTGGGCATAGATGAGGGCGTGAAGCCGAAGATAATGCAAAAGTAATTAATAATATATCGTATTTGACCAAAATATGACGTTGTTGGCGTAAAGTTGCTGTGATATAATGATAAATCTAAGAGATTTAGTTCGATGACAGCCTGTATAAGACACACTGGGCTAAAGAAGAAAGTGAATAAACAGGAGAAATAGAGAGAGAGAGAGAGAGAGAGAGACAAAAATCATCATCTAATAATATATAATATATCAAGATATCTTCAAAGTATCGTCTGGCCGTATCTGGGCACCGGCGTCGTTAGGCGGTTCTTCGTTTCCAGCCACAGTCGCTGCTCCAGGCTCTGATTGTACACCTTTGTCTCTGTCTCCTTTTAGGGGTTTGATCTGGTCGACATTTTGTATCCATCCGCCTATCTTCTCTGACTCCTTGATAAAGTCGGCACAAACCTTTAGATTGAGTCCGGCACTAAGGGCGCGCTGGACCTTTGCATTTCGAGATTCAGAGACGAGATCGCGCAGTGCTCGTGCAAAGTACTCACTCAGGACATCCACGCTCCAGTCGTGGGGGATCAAGTCGAGGACCTCGCGTACGTCGAAAAGAGGAGCGAAGCGGGCCAGCAGGTCTCCCGTTCGCTCCGTGCGATCATATGGATCAGTAATCTGTAGAAATTCTCGAAGCAATCCTGCGAAAAGTTCTTTTTGGCTTTCAGATGGTGAGAATTTTCTCAAGAACATGCTTTGGGGAGCCGTGCCTGACCCCTCGAACAGACAGTATCTAATTGCCGAGTCATAATCGCCAAGGCCGTGGGTTAGGAGATGAAGTGCATCATGGTGTCGTCCCTGGCGCCCACCTAGAATTATACATTCAGACACAAGCTCATTTTTAAAAGGCTCAATTCGTTCAAGCACAGCTGGGATAGAATAAGGTAGATCTGAGGGAGGGGATGTTGCGGATGTGAATTGGCTTCTTGCTCCGGATCCAAGAAGCTGTAATAATCGTAGACGTGATTGCCACCATGGCTCCGAAGGTGCATTATCAGAAATGAAGCTCAAGTACGAAGGTTTTGGAGGTCGGAGGGCACGATAGGTAGAGTATGATTCGATGAGAGATGACCTTGCCTCGGGTGAGCTTTCAAGTACTGAGAGGACGGTATCAAGGTAATATGATATCAAGTCGTCAGCGTATCGTGTGATCTGGTAACCCTTGTCAGTACTGATCAAGAATAACGCCAAAAAAGCGAATAACTCACATTTTTAGTAAATACAAGGTGCTCCAGGTAGACTTGTACAGCCCCAGGAGCACGATCTTTCAGTATTCGAATGACTTGAGGTGGATCAAGCTGGACTCTGCTGGTATCATCCGAAAATACCTGAATTCCAAGCTTGGGGTTCCTCGCTGCAAGCCAAAGGCCATACTCCTCAACCAGGTTTGGGTCTCTTATTTTCACAAGATACTTCCGTACTTGAAGCTCAACAGCAGGAATGGTCATTTCACCGCCGACATCCTTCTCTCCTTCTATCGTCCTGCGCCATGTTCTGAGAACATGACCGGCCATTTTACGGCTTTGGTATAGGCGACTCAATACGAAAAGCCGTTGGTAGAGCTCCAGTAGCTCGACTGCGCGGGTGAAATTCCCCTTCCAGTTGTCAACCAGTCTATTAAGCTCGGGTCGTACCGCAGAGGCCGATGCCATCCCATTAGCCTCGTTATGCTTTGCATCAAGGTGCAGCAGGAGACGAAGCAGAGCCGAATCAACACTGTCAAATACATAAGTATCATCTGTCACGCTTCCATACCCCCTCTTCAGATGCCAGGAAGTCAAGTATCTCACTAGCATCCGTAGAACTGGTTCCGTTAAGTTGAACTTCGTCGCTCCATCTTGCTCTCCGGATACTTCAAGGAAGGCATCAACGACTTTGGTAAGTCCTGCACAAACCCAAATGCCTTGAGGCCCTTGTAGAATTTCTTCTCTAAGCAATGGTGTAAAAAGGAGAATGATCCGAGGGTCTAGTTCTCCTGCAGTTAAGGCATCCTCCACTGCTTTAATCGCGCTTGGAGTCTGATGTTCCGGCTCTGTGGCGATGAGATCCCTGAAAAGAAGCAGGCTAGCCTTTTCTTTAACATAATTTAAGCCCAGGGACTCAGTAGCTGTTCTGGGTAGAATCGAATCCAGCCCACCCATCATCTCTATTATGGCAGCTTTGTTAGCAATTCGGCAACTCCTCGCACCCTCCAAATCTTGGGTGAGCAAAAGAGCATTCTCCAATTGTAGAGCTAACGGGTTACGAAGGACACGCCATATCTGACTTCCCTCCCAAAGTACGATGTTGCTTTGTACATAGCCTAGAGTTTTGGCGAAATTGGATTCTTCTTCGTTCCTTTCTGCCTCCCACCCACGTCGCGGTTTGACAGAAGAGCCATGTTTAGAGCCATCTGAATCATTTTCAAATAACTCTTTTTCCTTTTGTAACTGTTCAATGGATGCTTCCGTCCTGGGATCGCTACTTTTTGGGGGTGTCACGGATCCAGGAGTTCGTAGATCTGGCACGTTCAGTCGAACAACCTGTAGAAGTTCCCCGACATCTGCAAAATTCACATTGTTCGGGCTTACTGTTTGGCCAATGCCAACGGGTCCAGCATTGTGGTTCTCCAGCGATATAGTTATAAGGGACCGTTGTCTCTCTCCTTCCCCTGGATTAACATCCCATCTTTGCACCTCTAGGCACTTTTCCTCAGCGCATCCTTCCTCAGCGTCAGCAGCTATGTTGACCACCGCTAAGATGTACCCATCATCACTATTACCGCTCGGGTTGGAGCGTGGATCATTGCCACCATTGTCGAGTACGATTGCATCGGGGTACGTCTGAAATTCAATAGTTCCACGTTCCGCTGTTTCGCCTTCAAGGTTGACAAACATACCCACGGCAGGATTCGAGGCATCTGTCCCAGTAATCAGCAGGAATTCAGACGGTGTAGGTGACATAATGTGCGGCTTCAATGTTGCAGTATTCCGCTTTGGGGTTGGAGTGGGAGTTGGCGGGAGAGGTTTTTGGCCAAGCCCATCAGCCGGAGCGGCAGATGGAGACCTGCTTGGTATAGATAGTCTTCTATCATGAGAGCCTGTTGGTTTCGAAGATTTACTATCCGCAAGGGATTCTGGGGTCGATGTTCCTGAAATATCTGGCTGCACGCCCTGCTGATGGCGCTCCGAGCTTGCAGCTATAGCATTTAAACTTGTACTTCTTCCATGACTCTTTGCTCCTGAATTCCCATTTGAAGCTGCTAACACTTTGTCCAGCGCAGGGCTGGAGCTTCTAGATGGTATATTTTCTACCTTAAAGTCATCATACTCGTCATTTGATGAAATTGGAAAAAGAGGAATCTTCTGGCGGTGCTCTACCTCAAGTAAAGCATAGGAACGGGAATCCGCAACACACGCGATTGTACCTCTTCGATTGGCGATCAGACATCCAGGGAACTCAATATTCCTTACTCTCCGCGGCCCTTCCCCGATCCTCACAAGCATTATCTTGTCCTGCATCCCTAGCATGATGATAGGGTCCGGCGCCTCGTCTCCATCGTCCATGTTCGGTTCGTCAAGATCAAGGCCACCAATCCAGTTACAGTTGGAAACTTTTGTAGTCCCATATGCAGGGCTGAGTTCTGGCAGCGAGTAGAAGAAGACGGATCCATTGCAAAGGACACAAGCTTTGCTAGCCGTTGGAAGGACTAGAATTTGCTGGATTCCAGAGGACGAAGTGCTGCGGGCCAACGAGGTAATGGGTTGTCTTGAAGCCAGGATAAACGAAGGGCTACCATCCTCCAGCCCGGGTTCAGGCGGTAGAGAGACGAAGTGTAGTATTTCACCGGCAGAGGTGCCAACATATAGGTTCTCGTCTATCCACAAAGCCAACCGTTAGAACTAGCCAACGCAAGGAATAAGGAGAGGGAGTAGGATAGTAATGCATACTCCAGTACTCCACACAGGTTATATGCGCCTGTCCCTCGCCATCTTCAGCCTGTACCGGGACATCTTCGAGGAGAGGCCGCAGCACATATGGCCCTGTTTCCGGAGGACTGATGCGCCTCCGTTTCCGGCGCGGATCGATGTCACCATCGGATCCCATAATACTGGCTCAGCTTCACGCATCTCAAGGCATGCTCTGCCCCAGAGACTCACGCCCAAACGATGCTCCAAAGACAGCTTCTTGTCTGTTGTCGTCCTTTCGGAGCTTCAGGACTAACCCTTGACCTCCACAGGCAGCAGCTCAGGGATCAACGTTGTTCCGACTGGCCTTTCTAATGGTTTACAGGCAAGTTGAAGTTGACACCGAGGCAGGTTTATATATTATTCTTTGGCAAAGTCTCGTTTGTTAGTAGATAAAACTACTATTCGAGAGAGAGAGCGAGAGATGGATCCTCTGATTGCGTCAGAGAGCTTGACCTCTGCTGAGAATGGCCGCAACGCTGAACCTAGCAAGACACCAGCACAGATTCAAGAGGAGAATAAGTTTCAGAAAGCTATAGCAGTATGGCGAGGTGTGTTGATTCGGTGGCCAGATGCTGTGGGTGCTGAGCTAATTCTTCATTTGTATAGGAATCGACCTTGCGAACCTGATTGCTAAACATGATACCACAGCATCTGATATCGTATCACACCAGAGAGACTCCCTCGTCCAGAGGAAAGACCTGGCACAGAAGACCAAGGACTTCAGGAAGCTTGATGACGCATCGAAGCTGTCAGAGTATAAAGGGCTGTTGAAATGTGTGTACAGATAGCTACCGGGTGATAAAAAAAAAGAAGACATCTTGCTGACTGTCTCGAAGCGTACCAGGCCTTTATAGATCTTCTCACCAACCAAGGGAAGGTAGCGTCGTCCTCATTCTTACAATTCTATTCCGCGTTGTCAGAAGCCCCAGATCCCTATCCCCTCCTAGAGGCATCGATCGATTCTCTAGTCTTGTCCGAAGACACTGTTCCGAAATTGAACGCAGAAAAGGATTTCCTGCAAAATAGCGTCAACCGCTTGACATATCAGCTCGAAGAGACTGAAAAACGGCTAGCGGAAGAGCGTGCTACGCGGTTAAAGCTAGAAGAGAACCAGGATAAGAAGATTCAAGAAGTGGAAACTTCGTGGAAAGCTGCACTAGCAGAAAAGACAAGCAACTGGGAGGCAAAAGAGAAAGCGTTCGAGGAGAAGGCAGAGAACCATGACCGGCTGCTTAAAGAGCTTAAAGCGAGCTATGAGGTATCCCAGCGGCTGGACCGTAACGAGAACACCGAGGATAATACACGCAGCGCAGCAACGGCAGCGGAGCTCGAGATTGTTACATCGGATTTAGAGAGAACTAGCATTCGTCTTGCTGAGGTGGAAGCCCGCAATGAGCAGCTTAGTCTTGACCTTGCTCAGGCAGTTTCTCAGTCTCAATCTGAACATAGTTCCCACCCCATTGAAGAAGACCCTCAGTACCTGCGGCTGCAGAGTGAGAATTCCTCTCTCATGCGAAAACTAGAGGCTGCTCGCTTTGATAAAGATACAGAGAGGAATAGCTGGCAAGGGAAGCTTCGCCAATGTGAACGGGCTAACTCAAAGATCACACTGGAACGAGACGAACTCCGTGAAAAGCTTACCAAAGTTGCAGATTACGATGATATCAAGCGCGAGTTAGAGGTCATTAAGGTAGGCTCTTACCTTTTTATCTGGGTGATTGCGCCTTTACTCACTTACAGCAGTCTATTGAATTTTCTACCGGAGATGATGAACCAGATGCTTCTATTGACGATGCCAAACCCTCAAACTCCAAAGAAAATAACCTGGAGCAGTTGCTCCTTGCACGCAACAAGAAACTGTCCAACGAACTTACGATCTTACGAGTATCCCACCAAGACCTAGAAGGTCAACTGGAAAACCTCCGGGGAGAGCTCTCGCGAACCAACGCAGAACTGGAGAAGTCGAGAAAGCTGGCCACCAAGCTAGAAAACGACCTTCTCCATATCCAGCGCGAAGCAACCAACTCCTCCGCCATGTCAGTGGCTGGGACATATGTGTCCAGATACCCTCACGGCTCCCGTAGAGGGCGAGTATCACCAACCTCATCCATCATCTCGGGCTTCGATAACTCCATGTCCCCCTCCACCATGGAAGCAATTCGGGCTGGTGAGCCAGTCGGTGGTGGCTCCGGCATTCTTCCAATGGTCCAGGCACAGCGTGATCGTTTTAAACAGAAGAATGGCGAGCTAGAAGAAGAGCTGTCAAAGACTTATGGTATCGTCAAATCACTACGGGCAGAGGTAGCATCCTTGCAGAAAGATAACCTAAGCCTGTACGAGAAGACCCGGTACGTATCTACGTACAATAGGGGCCAAGCATCGACCTCCTCAACCGCAACACCGTACTCGAATAGACCCAACGCGACGGCGATTCAAGTAGATGCGGAAACCCCTTCTGGCTTATCACTAGATAGGTACCAGTCCGCGTACGAGGCTCAGATATCGCCGTTCGCCGCCTTTAGAGGCCGAGAGTCCGCTCGTGCGTATAAACGCATGAGTGTTCCCGAAAGGATCATTTTCTCTATCACTAGGATGGTTCTTGCGAACAGGACAAGTAGAAACCTATTTGCGGCATACTGTCTTGCTCTGCATATTCTCTTATTCGTAATGCTGTATTCTATGAGCACGACCGGGATCGAGAAACATGCTGGCATCATGCTCGATCATGGGGCAGGTCAAAATCTCGGGGCAGCTGACGGTAGTCCCCTTGATCATTTGGATTAACCAGCCTTTGTTTTTTCTTCTGAAACCAGATGTGTTTCAATCTGTCATTTCTGGAGCCTGCTCTTTTTTTTTCACCTCATGTTTTGATATTCTCACACGTCTAGATGGTGCTGATCTTGTGTGTTCCGCAATATTTCTACCTGTATATAGCATAACGTATTTTCATATGTTAGCCATGTATAGTCAGCAGGAAACTTAACCTGTGTTCCTCCGAGCAAATGTCCGGATAATAGCTGCGTTGTCGAAGGATTCTAAACATATCCTTCATACCTGTCCTCTAGTCTGCCGTCTTTGCATCAAATGCACTCGTCCTTTACCCCTGATGGGATATTTCCACTGCATGTGCGGAGCACGCAAATGTTTGAGATTGTGTGTACTCCGTGCTGGGAACGGAGTACGCCCAGTAACCATACGTATACGTCTACTGGCTTGCTGCTGCAAATTTCATGCATGCGCGTACACTGTGGCAAGCATGCCAGTGTCCCGCTGCATGTAGCAGTCTCATACGGAGTATTCTTCCCAACAGAGGTTGACACCGGGACTATCAGGCAGCCAAGAACACCCATGGGAATATCTCGATCCGCCTAGGACATTGCAGGGACTCGTTCAATGCAGAAAGAGACAGCAGGGGTACAACTCTGCCTGTAAAGGGAAATAACTAGCGGGAACTCAATGCGTCTTCCAGGGTATGGGAGGTATGGGATAGCTGCGTCCAGTTAGCACGTCAATATTTAACGGATGATACTGATAATACCGAGTGGCAACAAGCGATTCAGCGGGTTTGTCGCCTGTTACGGTGCATTGCAACTCTGAAGGGCTAAATTAAAACACTGATCGTAGTAGGAGTTGTAGACAAGAACCTATTTCTGAGAATCTGTGGGGTGGATTTTGGAAGAAGATAAGTCCGCGGAGTATAATATAAACAAGTTCTGCAAAGCATGGGTGTTAGCTGAAGGCTGCCCCATCCGTGAATGGATACGGCGCTTACAGACAACCACTCAGATTGGGCGTAGGCCCCTGGCTAAAGATAGGCACAGGCAACCCTGCCAGCCGCCGTGCATCGACCACTGACTGATTGGCCCTTGCTCTAGGTTATTTTTATCCGTGCAGGTTCTGGCCATTCATAGCATTCATAGCACCAATCTTGCCTGACGAGCCAGCAAACGGTTCGCCAGAGAGTTTTGCCTGCTGTTTTGGGTTGTTCTTTTTTTGGCTGCCGGTGGGCGGCTGCATGGAACTCTCTGCATGTTCTGCAGAATAACTCAATGGGGAATCATCCCAGACGATCTGTATATAAAGATGGCTGGTGCTGGCGATTTCTTGTAGCATTCTCACTCACTACATTCTTCATCCTTCAACGGTATTGCATCTGGTCTGCGGTATCCGGCTTTTTCTTTTCTTTTCATTATTTTTTCCCTTTCCCGTTCGATTTCTTATCTTCATCTATTTCTTTCCCTTACGGTTGAGCCGTCTTTAATTTCTGCTTTTTTCAATATCACGGTTTTGACGAAACGGGCCTTCAATATCAAAAAAGAATTTCAAACGATAAAAAAAAAAAATAAACCTACATCAAATCATCCAATATGCGCTTCGCTATGGTACTCTCTGCCTGTGTGGCAATTTCTGGAGTGAACGCTGCGCCAGCTGGCTGGTCCCCGGGTTCTGCCAAATGGCTCAGTGAAATTGGTGACTATATTTCCAAGCACGCGAACCAGGGTTTCCCTCGCCAGCCTACCTGTGATCTCTCCAAAGCCGTGCTCCCAAGCAACCCACAGCTTTCGGAAGTTCCCGAGAACCAGAAACTGCTCGCCGTTGCAGTCGGCCGTGGCACTCAGGTAACTTAATCCCGAACCCCATCAACAAGCCGAAAATGAACTAACAAAGTGACAGAACTATACATGTGCTTCATTATCTCCAGATGAAGCTCCAAAGGCCACCGGCGCCGTTGCTACGTTGTTCGATGCCTCGTGCATCGCATCCAACTACCCTTACCTTCTCTCGCTTCTCCCCAACGTTGCTCTCGAGCTCACCAACCCTACACCACTCGCCAACTCCCGTGGCCCAGCAGACCTAATGATGATGGGCCGCCACTACTTCAACGGTGAAGGTGTTCCAATTTTTGACTTGCCAAAACTTGGAGTCTGCGGTGTTAAGAAAGCTGACTCCAAGGATGCACCACCCGATGCTATGAAGGGTGTCAAGAATGAGCAAGAAGGTGCCGTTAGCTGGCTGATGCTTGAATCGATTCCTTCTAGCAAGGGCCAGGCAAAGAGGGTATATCGCGTGAACACTGCTGGAGGAAAGGCACCGGCAACCTGTGCTGGCCAACCAGAACAGATCCAAATCCAGTATGCCGCCGAGTACTGGTTCTATGGATGAAGTGATGAGGATCAAAATGGGATGCATTGATTTATGTTCTTTTTTCTTGTTGTATAATTTGTTTCAGTTTCCTTCACATACCCTTTCTTCTGTCTTTATTTTCGCCGTGTTGCATAGCTGGCTTAGGTTTGTTGGTTATTGTCGGGTGTTTGTGTGTTTGTGATGAGAGCAGCAGACATGTACATAGGTATAAGTATGTTGTAAAAATCCGGAGTATTGGCGTCAGGTATCATCTTGTATAGAATAGCATACTTATTGTATACCTTCAACTTTTTTTAAATTTCCTCGTTGAAGCCTAAGAAGAAACTTGACTTTCTCCCATTGTAGGATGTCACGTGAAAATTACATAAGAAAAGACTAACTTCTTTTGGTTAGAAGCTTAGCAAAAATCATCGTGCGAAAAAAAAAAACCAAGAAGCAAAAAAAAAAAAAAAGGATCAATTTTGAAAGACCTTGGAAAGATATATCCCATTCAAACACCGCCAATCGACTGTTTGAAATAGTTTTCCGGGTCGGTATAATCTCTTTTCGAGAGGCGATTTACCGGACTTCGACAGGTTTCACCCACAGTTATCGCTCAATTCCAGATAATTTGATCGATTGGATCCAGGACCAGCCACTCTACACAGCAGGCGATTGATTGAATACACGATACTTCATTCCCAAAAAGAGCATCCTTATCGCTTCGTATAATGGCTTTTGGAGCTCCCCGAGGACGCGGTGGTGACCGTGGTGGTCGTGGAGGACGTGGAGGACGAGGTGGTGGGCGCGGCGGTGGACGTGGTGTGTAATCCCTTATACTGGCTGAAGAAGCTTCCAATAGTCTTTGCAGTGGAGCTCCAGCTTCAGCTAGACATTTTTTTCGATTGCTGGTCTTTTGGTCTGCTCATATTGAAAGATAGTAGAGAATGGGATGACTGACTTGAATAGGTGGTTTTAGCGGACGCGGCGGTGGTGATAGAGGTGGCCGCGGAGGTGGACGAGGTGCCTCGAGAGGCCGTGGTGCTGGTCGCGGCGGACGCGGTGGAAAGGCAGGCGCCCGTGGTGGTGCCAAAGTCATCGTTGTAAGTGTTGCATCTCTCCGCAGTTCTGGACGAGTCTAACTAATGCGGTATTCTTTTAGGAACCCCACCGCCATGGCGGTGTATTCGTCGCCCGTGGTGGAAAAGAAGATCTCCTAGTCACCAAGAACATCACTCCTGGTGAGGCTGTATATGGTGAGAAGCGCATATCTGTTGAGGCCCCCTCCACAGATGGTGAAGGCGCCGCTACCAAAGTCGAGTACCGTGTCTGGAATCCCTTCAGAAGCAAGCTTGCTGCCGGTATTCTTGGCGGTCTTGATGATATTTACATGAAGCCTGGCTCTAAGGTCCTGTATCTTGGAGCTGCCAGCGGTACCTCTGTCAGTCACGTTGCTGACATCGTTGGACCAACCGGAACCGTTTATGCCGTCGAGTTCTCTCACCGATCTGGCCGTGACTTGATTGGTATGGCCACCCACCGAACCAATGTCATACCTATCGTTGAAGATGCCCGTCACCCACTCCGCTATAGAATGCTGGTTGGTATGGTCGATGTTATTTTTGCCGATGTTGCTCAGCCTGACCAGGCCCGTATCGTTGGCCTTAACGCACACTTGTTCTTGAAGACTGGTGGTGGTGTAATTGTCAGTGTCAAGGCCAACTGTATCGACAGTACTGCTAAGCCAGAGGTTGTATTTGCCAAGGAGGTGCAGAAGATGAGAGAGGAGAAGATAAAACCAAAGGAACAACTTACGCTTGGTACGTATCATTCGCTCGTCTTAATGTAACTCCTTTGTTGATTTGTTCTTACTGACTTATAACCGTATAGAACCTTTCGAGCGTGACCATTGTATTGTTGCTGGTATCTACCGGGCAGCTTAATTGGATAACTTTCTGGTGTTCCCTTTTTTTGTTCCATGTCTTACCATTGGCGTTTGAGAGTTTTTTTCTTGAGTGAGTCCTGCATTATGTCTTCTTTCAGGGTTCTCATTGAAATATGAATGTATCCGTTTCTTTATAGGTATAGCCATTTGCGGTGGTGTCTTTCCTCCTAAAAAATGTATAGGGCCTCATTTGTTCCGCTACTTTCCTGTTTTACCTTATCTGTCATCCATCATGCCTTTCGACTCGTGTGCAATTAGTCTGCTTATAAGTGATAGAGCATGAATTCGCCCTTTTTTTTTTTATTATTTTTTTTAAAGCTTTCTATGGTTTCTTTCCCAATTTGAAGGTTTGATATCTACTACAGTCACGTGTAATAGCTTAAATCTCAAAAAAAAAAAAAAAAAAAACTGTCAAAAGGCAACAAACTGGAGTGCGTTTTCCCTGTATCAGACCATCCTACCAGAGTCGATACCGGCCAAACCGCCACGGGACCTTGAAGACAACGTTTACTCCGTTGAGGCCCAACTTAAGAGTGCCCAGCGCTAAAGAATTAAGGTTGGCGCCCTCCGGGCACTTACATGAGATTGAAGTTTCTCCTACCTCCTTAACGGACTTCATTGTACGGAGTATATATACTGATATTCCCATTTCTATAGGTCCCGTGAAAATTATTATACGTTAAAGGGGGATGAGGGAGGTGTATAATAACCGTATAATGATAAATTTAATGATAACAGGCTGGCCTACCCAACATCTTATACACTCCAACTTCTCACCGTGGAAAGGCCGTGGATCGGCGCTACCGCCGACAGAGTACACCCTCGGAGTAACGCCGGGACACGTGACTCTAGATCTTCCGTGGAGCGTCAAAGAGGCAACTTCGCCGCTTGCGATTTGAACGGCCTAGGGAGCAAGAAACGGGAGACAGTTTAAGTGGGAGTTGGGGACAGCTACGAGATCCGGTAGTGCTTCCGTGATGCTCGGTCGAGAGACCGCTCGGCGTTGCTCCTCGTGTGACGCGCTCAAACCCCCCGCAGGATGCAGCTTCATGGCTTGCTGCAGATAAGCATGGGGAGGGATTTAAATAGCTGACCATCCCGCCCGCCTTTGCTATTACCCCGTTACGAAGGCATCTCTTTAACCTCCTGTTGCAGTATCAATCCAACCCAGGCAACACTCTCCCAACTCCACACACGCATATATACCAGTCTCTTTGCATGTATCCGTTTACCCTCGATTGAGAAACACGGCTATGGCTTCTATCCTAATAACGGGAGCAAACGGCTTCGTTGGCCAGGAATTGGCCGGGGGCCTCCTTAATGCCTGTCCAAACGTCCGCCTCACCCTCACGGACGTTACCGTGGCTCCTCCGGTTCCAGCTTCAGCTAAGCCTGAAGACGCTGGCCGCATAACCAGCCTCAAAGCAGACCTCACCTCCCAAGCCGCTGTTGATGAACTCATCAGCTCCCCTTCCCAATACGATGTTGTGTATATCCTCCATGGCATCATGTCCGGTGCCTCTGAAGCCAATTTTGACCTCGGCATGAAGATCAATTTTTTCTCGATACATTATATGTTTGAAAGATTACGGAAAGTGATACCAGGGGTAAAGGTCGTCTTTGCGTCTTCTCTGGCTGTCTATGGGCCTACGCCCCCTGGATTCATGATCAATGAACGCAATCTGCCACCACTCCCTACTTCCTCGTATGCAACGGCAAAGATTGCCACTGAGCTACTATTAAATGATTATTCACGCCGTGGATTCCTTGACGGAAGATCTGTTCGACTGCCTACCGTTACTGTTCGAGCCGGCGCCCCTACGGGGGCCGCAAGTAGCTTTGCTTCCGGTATCATACGTGAGCCATTGAAGGGTGAGAAGAGTACGATGCCCGTCAGGAGAGATACGGAGCTATGGATATGCTCTCCGTACGTGGTTGTGGAGAATATGATCTATGCAAAGGACATTCCAAAGGAGAAGTTTGGCGATTCTAGAGCAGTAAATCTGCCTGGAATCAAGGTTTCTGTGCAGGAAATGCTCCAAGTTTTGGAACAAGTTGGCGGAAAAGAAAAGAGAGCTCTGGTGGAGGAGAAGTATGACGAGACGATCGATAAGATCGTTCAAGGATGGTCGCCTAACTTCGATATCACTTGGGCCAAGGAGCTAGGATTTAAGGAAGACATGTCATTTTTGGAAAGCGTAAAGAGATATATAAGTGAGCATGTTAGTTAGAATAGAATAACATACTATCGTTGGACAGGTGCTCCGATAGATGCATAGATATTGTTATTAACCCTTTATTATGCGATACGAATCCATTATGCTCAAGTATACATGAGTGGTAAAAAACAATCTGCATATTGCTTTCCAGCCTACTTTCTGTGGGATACGGGTTAAGTATTCCTACTGTGTAGTATTGATTCTAATTCTCCTTCTCCTTCCCGAATACCCGGACCCTTGGTTCAATAGGGTCAAAAGTCTTCTCAGTCGGCGATGCAGTAGGAACACCAAACGGCATCTGTGCAACTAATATCCACTCAGGTGGGAGCGAGAACACCTCTGTAACCTTTGCATCGATAATTGGATTATAATGCTGCAAGCTCGCACCCAATCCGAGGGATTCAAGTGTGGTCCAAACTATAACTAGTGGTTAGTTCCAGTGTATCAACACAACCTCAGCATAGCCAATGATAAGTATCATTTTAACTCACGAAAGTACTGATGCATTGCATTGCTATGATGGGCCCAGATGGGGAATTGTTCCTTATACTGGGGGAATTTCTCACACATTCCCGGAATCACCGTAGGGTCCTCGTAGAAAAGAATCTACGCAGCATATATTAGCCATCTATCAGCCAGCATGCTAATCCCTAGAGAAACGAAACGTCATATTGATATCCCAACTTACAGTGCCATAGCCTGCTCTCATCTTATCCAGTTTCGGCTTTGTACCCGCCTTCCACTTGTCCTCGGGAAAAGTGCTGTTGGCCACCATTGACTCGTACACGTCTTCAACGACATCCCAGAATCGCTGGTTCTCGTCGCGGAGAAGAAGGACTAGACGGGTCGTTTGGGTGTTGAAGGAGCTGGGTACATGCAGGATTGCATCGTGGACAAGTTTCTCAAGCCGGGAATCCGGAACTGTGCTGGCGTTGGTAAGAGCATAAACAGACCTTCTAGCTTTGGCCAATTCGATGAATGCCTCTGTTGACGAATCCATCTTTGGAGAAAAGGAGGGTATTCCTGGTCTGTCGACGGTGTGAGTGTACGGGGACACTTATATATGTTCAATGGTCGAAGTCAGGGAGAAATGACAGATTCAGGGGTTTATAAGCAAGATAACAAAAACCTGTTCGGCCGACCGATGGCTCACACTGTGGATTCTACGTTTGCTCTTGTTGCAATGAGTATTTATTAGCAGCTCGCAACATGTGCGAAATGATAACGGGTCGCGCGCCCGGCAACTCGTCTGAAGAGGCAAAATAAATATGGAGCAAATATTGAATCAATGTAGGTATTTCAGCAAGAAATATAACAGACTGTGGGGCTTGATTATTTTCACCTATAACATCTTCTACATACTGACATGCTAAGAACACGACTGACATGACACATATTTTTTCTGTACGTGGGTCGTTAAAAACCGTAGTCCAAACGCTGCAATGAAACCTCTAATGCTCTGCTCCTACGCCTAGCTTCCTCACATTCCGTAGCCCGACAAGTCCAATAAATGCAACAATTAACATGGTAACGAAACAGGCCCAGAAAGCAGCTCTGTAGCCCGCCATAATGGCCTCGGGAGATTGATCTGGATAAGGGGACGCCTTTTCGACTGTGGCCGATATGACTGCAATAGCGGAGAGGCCAACAGAGCTTCCGAGTTGGGCGATGGTATTGAATACCGCGCCAGCGAGGGCTTGAGTAGAACCTGGGAAGATGTCTGTGATCATCAAATGGGCGATGGTGAATACGACTAGAATGTGGAGGAGTGTGTTAGTAGGTCCAATGTTATATATATACGGCAGGAGGGGGGAACAGAGCCATACCATCGATAGCCACAGGTCCCAACAGTACTCCCCAGAAGGCGCACACCCAATAATTCCAGCTTGGATCGATGATGGCCATCAGCAGTGGGGCAATCGATGCGATTATAGATACAGCGATGACAAGGTAGTTGACTCGGACAAGGTGGACAAACAACCCGGTGCTGAGGTTGAGGATAATGCCAATCACGACATTAGGCAGTAGACGAGCTGAAGTATCAAATGGAGACAGCAACTGGACCTTTTGGAAGCTAGGATTGGTAGGTTAGTATAGGTTATTAGTATATAGAGGGTAGGAGGAGAGTGGGCTTACAATAAACTAAGTACCAGCTCAGAGCTTAGTATGACAGCCCACGTAAAGAAAACTATCAAGCTGATGGACACAAAGACAGGATTCTTCCACATAGAGTTAGGTATCAAAGCTGGAGCGCCTCGCTTTCCTTGCCAATGCATCCAAAGTCCGAAGGCTGGAATTAGGGCCGCTGCAAACACAATCAACATAATATGAGTCGCATTCTGGACATTGGCGACGTCATCCGTGAGAATACTATGGATGATAAGCATGATTCATTATTCCGTAGATGGGACGAATGTAAACTCACGCGCATATGTAAGAGATAACTCCCATGCAGGAGCTAGCAATCAATATCCCGACCCAGTCAATTTGGCATAGTAGATCGTGCCATTTGAAGGTAAACTGCTTGTTATCGGTTGGTAGGGCGAGGTAATTTGAAACGGTAAGGACCAAGGCAATACTAGCACTACCGTAGAAGCCTAGTCTCCAGCCTCCGGGGGCCCCTGAGAAAAGCCCTTCGGCGACCATACCGACGGAAAAGCCAAGCGGTTGGGATAATCCAAGGCTAGCGAATCCGATGTTGCGTTGGGGACCGGGAGGGAATGATCTCGTAATGATGCTCACACCGGTTGGAAGGCACATTGAGACGCTGATACCCTGGATGAGACGGTAAATGATCATCTCCATTCCGGTGCGTGATAAACCAGTGCCTAGGATGGCAATGACTGAGATTGCTGTGCCCAATATATTAATTGACCGATCACCGACAAGGTCTGCTAGAGACCCGGCAAGCAGGAGAACACATCCGCTTGCTAGTCTATGCGTATACAAGAGCTATTAGGAATACCATCTGGATTACTTCCGTACCATGAAAGCAATGTCCCACTTACGAATAAACCGATGTTGGCCTAGTCGGAAAAAGTGTTAGTATCTCCGTATCCATAACATATTGTTGAGAAAGAGGGAGCCAAACCAGAATAAAAGATGGTCTGGTAGTTCTAAATCAAACGCAATTTCAGGCAGTCCAACGACAAGAAGGCCGTTTGATACGCAGCTTAGGAAGGTGACGCCAGTCAGTCCCAATATAATAATCGTTGAGCGAGCTCTGGAGAGGCGCGGGTGCGAACTTCTGCCACCATCTTCATCCTCTCTTCTCAATAACGGTGCATTCTCAGAAATCTCTCCATTAGCAAGGCGTTGGCCTTCGACTGTTGCTGCCATTCTGATATCGAGATGTCGGACGTTTGAGAAATACCCGAAGGCCCTCAGATGGCGTTGGAGGGGGGAAATCCTGCAAATAAATAAAATAAAATAAAAATAAATAAGGAGCCCCTGTCCTGTTTTCAGATAACTATCCAATGCGCACGAAACAGAAACTGTGAGGCTCGAAAGACACAACGACGGCCTATATGTTAGGCGGTTCCTTTATTTCTGAGTCCAGAGTGGAATAAATTTGAATTGAACATGGCATGGTCCGAGACAGCTTCAGCGTTTCGGGGGCGAAAGGTGCCGTCTTCTCCACTTAAATAGGCTCGAAGGGAGTGAAACAGACACTTTTGCGCAGAGAACACAAATGAATATTAGATTTTATCCATCGCCTGCTGGCTCTGACTTGAACATACTGTACATAGCAGTCAGTGTTGAACTCTTGCAGAGAGCTGCTGGCCGTGAAACTGGTCAATCTCCAGCCAGAGCCAGCTCGTGTATACATGTAACATAAACCTGTTCGACCGTTAACACACTACCTTCACATAGATCACCCATACCATGTACTCACCTGTAACATCGTTCACACCTATTCGCACGTAAGATCCCTACACTCTCATCTATATATCGACGTCTCTATAGATTCATATTATCGACTTGTCCTTGTGTGGTTGTAGTGAAAACCAACCAATGAGAAGACGCAGAAATGGGCTTCTCATCCGACGTCACGTGATGATCGGAAACAGCAAGTTTGGACTTCAGCAACTTTTGCTCTTCTTGAAAAAAGACCACAAAAAAGGCACGACGACGAACTGCCCTCGATTTACCCACGACATCTCCTTTCACATCCTCCGCCATGGCATCCCGGAGACTTGCTCTCAGCTTCCACCAGGCGGTGCGCTCTCGCAACGCGCTACGGGCCGTCCAGCGCAGCAGGCGAGGTTTTGCGTCTCCAGTTGTCACCGGCTCGACGCAGTCAACGACCTTGTCCAATGGCTTGACGGTGAGTCCGGGTCGAGTCGGCTTGTCGATAGAACCCTACTGACTGTCCCTATAGATTGCCACGGAATACTCTCCATGGGCTCAGACCTCGACTGTTGGTGTATGGATCGATGCCGGAAGCAGGGCTGAGACTGACCAGACCAATGGAACTGCCCACTTCCTCGAACATCTTGCCTTCAAGGTGTGTTGATACTCCGTCTTTTGGTAGACGTACTGTGCTTACAATGTCCGGTTTAGGGTACCAACCGACGAACTCAACATCAATTGGAGCTGGAGATTGAGAACATGGGTGGACACCTTAACGCCTACACATCGGTAATGACACGTTCAATTTTATCTCTCTATCGTCATATTAAGGCAAAACAGTCGAAAAACAGCTCTAATATCCGTTCTTATAGCGAGAAAACACTGTCTACTATGCCAAATCATTCAATGCCGACGTCCCCAAGACCGTCGATATCCTATCTGATATCCTTCAAAACTCCAAACTCGAGCCAGCTGCCATCGAACGCGAGCGTAGCGTAATCCTCAGGGAACAAGAGGAGGTCGACAAACAACTGGAGGAAGTTGTCTTTGACCATCTCCACGCCACTGCTTTCCAGGGCCAACCTCTTGGCCGAACCATCCTTGGTCCAAAGGAGAACATTGCCAGCATCCAGCGTGAACACCTGGTCGACTATATCAAGACCAACTACACTGCTGATCGCATGGTCCTCGTTGGCGCCGGCGGTGTTCCACACGAACAGCTTGTTAAGCTTGCTGAAGAACACTTTGGAAACCTTCCCAGCCAACCGCCAAGCTCTGCTGCCTCTGCCATTGCCGCCGAGCAGAAGCGTCAGCCTGACTTCATTGGCTCTGACGTGCGAATCCGTGATGATACCGTTCCCACCGCCCACATCGCTCTCGCCGTTGAGGGTGTCAGCTGGAAGGACGACGACTACTTCACTGCTCTCGTCACGCAGGCTATTGTCGGAAACTGGGACCGCACTATGGGCAACTCTCCCTACCTTGGAAGCAAACTAAGCACCTTCATCAACCACCACAACTTAGCCAACAGCTTCATGAGCTTCTCCACCAGCTACAGTGACACTGGGTGAGTGTTTTTTTTTTTTTTTTTTAATTATGTATTTCTACCTATCAGTAGACCTTGTACTAACCTTTATATTGTAGTCTCTGGGGTATCTACCTTGTATCCGAGAACCTGACCAACCTCGATGACCTCGTGCACTTCACTCTCCGTGAATGGTCCCGCCTATCGCAGGACGTCAGCCCTGCTGAAGTCGAGCGTGCCAAGGCTCAACTCCGTGCCTCCATCCTCCTCTCTCTCGATGGCACCACTGCCGTTGCCGAGGACACCGGTCGTCAGATCGTCACCACCGGCCGCCGACTCTCCCCACAAGACATCGAGCGTGTCATCGATGGCATCACCGAGAAGCACGTCATGGACTTTGCCCAACGGAAACTCTGGGACCAGGACCTTGCCGTCAGCGCCTTTGGTAGCATCGAGGGTCTGCTCGACTACCAGAGACTCCGCAACGACATGAGCCGCAACGCTTCTTAAGGGGAAACAAATCCGCCAAAAGGAAGATTAAACAAAACAAAAAGAAACCCCCGCGTCTGCGGAGGTTTACAAGTGTAATTTCCCTTTGTACCTGATTCTTCCTCTGTTTTTTCTTGGTCTTTGTCTTGTTTTGATAGATTCACAAGTGAGATCGATAACTGTGGTCCTATATATTTTTCTTCCTGTACAGTACCTGAAGACCCCCTCCCTCACGCCCTCACCCCGCCGATGCCCTTTAACTACTGCATTTTTCCTATTTTGCTTCTAACTGCCATAAACCTATCTTATCTCTTGTCTATCCCGCCTTATCCCCTCATAGCCGGGGGGAAGGGCAATCTCCTCTCCTTCCATCTTTCTGCGATCGACCGCAGGGTTGGCTGCTCCCTTGGGTATCCGTACTATGTGTGTGTATGTAGTGGATAAATGGGTAAATCCTCTTCGTCCACGTAATAACTCGACTCTTCCTATGGCTTACTGTCCAGGGGGGGAAGACTTTATATATCTACATAGAATTTACCGTCTACGACAGGGACACTAGGGGGAGATCAGTGAGCTTAACCCAAGTAAACCCTAGTCTCCGTCCAGAACGGCGGCATAAGCAACTAACTATATACTTACTATATAGCCATAGTTAGTTAACAAGGAGAGATATATAGCTACGCGAGCTTCCAAGCCGGCTGCATTCGGGGCAACCCAGCAAAGCCTCCATCATGGACCGAGACAAACAGGACTGGGGGGATCCATCTTTTTTCCCTCTCTCTCTTCGAGCTTGACGGGCATAAGCCAGAACCAGAAGCTGGCGGTGGGTGTGAAACCACGACGAGGCTTTCCTTGACTCTCTCTCTCTCTCTTTTTATCCCCCTGACTTTTCTCTTGCCAGCGAAGTGGCCTAATGAGGCAAATATAGCCCTACCGGGTTCTTCTCTCTACCACTTTATATATGCCCGGCACAGGGACTGATGACAACAACCAGAAGAAGGAGAAGAAAAGGCGGCATCAGATATCGGTGACAGAGCCTGAACCGGAAAGCTGCTGCGCGTCCTGTCGACGTTGAAATTGTGGTATCACCCGAGTTATAATATCTCAACTAAAGGGCCACTTCAACTGCAACTATCACTGCACACTGCACTGCACCCCATGAACGGAAGCAAACCCAGAGCTAATGTGCGGATATTTTATTTTATTTTCACTTAAAACCAGCTTGCATGAGGCTGGGTCTCGCCTTGCATCGCCTTTCTCGATACAATGTACATATTTGTACACGGCATCTGAAGCACTAACTATCAACAGGGCCAAACGGAGCAGCCATGGCGGCATACATACATACATACGAAGGGGGCCGCCACTCCACCAACACCCCCCGCCAGTACGGAGTTACATTTCTGTATATGTCCTTCCTTGCGCTCTGGGAAGGGCCAAGTTTGCTCCGTCGAAGAAAAGAAGAAGCTAAAATCATGTCCGTTGTCCCAGCCTACAGCCGTGCTTGCATCAGATCCGTCGGAGAAGCACTCTCTTTTCGGTATAACAGGCGGCGGGACAAACATAAAAAAAAAATTGACAGTTGACCAAGTTTGAACTAACTCCATATCTATTATTCAGCGGATTTGGGGAAGTTCGACGTATATCATAATCTCTTGTCCGGCCACTGTCTAGCCGAGGTCCTGAGGACTGGAGTGTTCATCTAACTATGGCGAAAAAGGCTTGATATCTTGATGTCATAGTAGTTTGGGGGCAAAAGAAAGGCGCTTCTCGCTCAGACATTTTAGCTAGCGGGCTTCGTGGCAAGGCCCCAGTTTCATGCAACATTTAAGCCGCCGGCGATCTCGTTTAAACTGCTAGCTTGCAATGGAGATGCTTCTTTAAGCAAGAACCGCCGCGGTTTTAACCTGGTATACTTTGAAAAATTAAAGGGGGATATTCCCATTCCAGAACAGAGGGCGTTTTCCCCATTTCCCCTTCCCACCCTCCATTCTGCTGGTAGAATGGGTCCCAAAACGGGAATTGCCTACCATTTGAGTGCATTAAACGAAACGGGAATTGCCTACCATTTGAGTGCATTAAACGGCTTAAATTCGTCCGGGCCCGATTTTTGCATCATAGTCAAGTATTATATATATCTATAGCTTTCTTCCTTCAATTGATAGTATCAAGTGAATTTGTTCTTCACCGAAAGTTGATATATATATACGGAGTAGTTCTACAGGGTTGCACGATAACAGCGTAAAATTCATTCGTCATGTCTTCTACAACCAAGTCTCTTTACTTCAAGAAGGTCCCATCGGGATACCCAGTCCCTGGAGAACATCTGGTTGTCGAAAATGTCCCCTTTGACCCAGAAGCCCCGGCGCCAGACGGTGGCCTGACGCTTGAATGCCTCTACACCAGCTTTGACCCGTACATGCGTGGCCGCATGCGACCTGCGCACGTCAAGTCCTACTCTCCCGCATACGGACTCAACGAGCCCATCCCCAGTGCCACGATCGCAAAGGTCCTCAAGTCACGGAATGACAAGTACAAAGTCGGCGATATCGTCATCGGCCTGCTGCCCATTCAGAAGAACGTCGTCCTCCCGGAGGCACAGCTCAAGTTCATCGGCCCCCTCAAAAACCCAGAGGGCCTCACAGATCTTCGTGTCTTCCTTGGTCCGCTCGGAATGCCCGGTTTGACCGCATACGCCTCTCTGTATGAAATCGGCAAACCAAAGAAGGGTGACACCATCCTCATCTCCTCCGCAGCCGGTGCAGTAGGCCAGGTAGTCGGCCAGATAGCCAAGCACGAAGGCCTGACTGTCATCGGCAGTGTTGGCAGCGACGAGAAGCTGGAATATATCCTAAAGGACCTCGGGTTTGACTCCGGATTCAACTACAAGAAGGAAAAACCAGCCGACGCCCTCAAGAGACTTGCACCCAAGGGTATCGACATCTACTTTGAGAACGTTGGCGGAGACCACTTCGAAGCCGCACTCGAGCACATGAACGATTTCGGCCGCATTGTTGCCTGTGGTATGATCTCCCAGTACAATCTGCCCATCAAGGACAGGTATCCGATCAAAAACCTATACCACTTCATTTCCAAGCGCCTGACAATGAGAGGGTTCATCGTCAACGATCCCGGTATGGGGGACAGGTGGACAAAGGAGCACCTCGAGCGTGTCTCCAAATGGATCAAGGACGGCTCTTTCAAGCCCCTGATCGCAGAAACAGAGGGAATCGACAACGCTCCCGAGGGTCTAGTGGGTATGTTCCATGGAAAGAACCTGGGCAAAGCCGTCTTGAAGCTCTAGAAACATAAAAAATATCCAAAAAAAAAAAATCACCAAAAAAAAGGATATGACTTGTTAACTGGGTTTTTGGAGTTTTTTAAACGATGGGTTTGGTCAATCGCAATTCTTCCTGGGACGGTCGTGGGATACCTTTCCAATGAAAAGACGAAAAAGTTCCTGTACACGGCATTTCATAGGTGTAGTTGGATGCTGATATTTCTCCCCCATCTACCAACTCCGGTCACTATTTCACTTCTGTCAGCCCTGAGAGCAGTATATAGTATCTGTAAATACCTTAAACACATCTAGAAGAATATAACTGATATAATACTGAATAGTCGGTATAAAACCATCTTTGCTTCTTCTTTTTCTGCTCTGAAGAAAAAGAGCTGCAGTTCTTACATAAGCAATCACGGGATATCTCGGCTTAAAGCAGAAACTGACCAATCAGACGCCGCTGATTCTGATGACTTTCCGAGGTTTCGATGTTTCGATGTTCGTTCTTCGACTAACGGAAAACAAGAGACAAGCAGAGAGCAGGAGGAAATTTGACTGAACAGCCAACGACGCGCAATCGCAGCAAGTTAGGACAAGTATGGCCACTTCTATCGTTCGCCCGTCCGTTTCCGCTCTCCGGCAGAGCTGTCGAGTGGCCGCATTCCCGCACAGGTCGCCCATCACCGCGCTGAACGCCGTCCAACTACAGAAGAAATGGTTCCATGCTTCGAGCAAGAAGGATATTCTACCACCATTGCCTCGTGAGTACTGCGGAAACCTGTGATATGTGACTGGAGAGGAGAATGGGGGGTTGTTATGCTGGGATTTCTGGGAGAAAAAGAACGTTTGCTAATGAACGATATTACTTGGTATAGAGGTTGTTCAAGGAACCAGTATGTTTTACGGCCCTCTCAATTGCATATTGGTGGATGTGGTATCTTTGAATTACAGGTCAACTAACGCTTGTCCGTAGCTAATGATGCTGCTCCGATTCCTCCTACCTCTCCCACTCACGGAAGCTACCACTGGACCTTTGAGAGGTGCGTACCGGATATATATATATATATATAATCGAAATTCTGGCATTGGATTGGAGCGGTTTCTAACGTTTATCTGTAGAGTCATTTCTGCCACCCTTATTCCCCTAACAATTGCGCCATTCGCCTCTGGGTCGGTCAGCCCTGTCCTTGACGCCGTGCTCTGTGGTACCCTCGTTATTCACTCTCACATCGGTTTCCAGTAAGTCATCTTGCTTATGCCGGCAATGAAAGCGGTATGGAGTTCTGATTATCTTCTACAGGGCCATGATTGCCGATTACTTCCGCCCATGGCGTGTCCCTAAGACTGCTGCCTTCTTGAAGTGGCTCCTTCGCGGTGCTACGCTGGCTACGGCGGTTGGCCTGTACGAGTTCGAGACCAACGATGTGGGTGTAACGGAGGCCCTTAAGAGGATCTGGAAGGCGTAAATGTATATATCCTGTATTTCTGTTTCTGTATTCTGATCCCCCTTCTATTACCCTGTTTCCTCTTGATCGACCGCACCGGTATAGCGCGAGAGTGTTCTTTCGAACTATCGTTATCTACTTGCATATAAAGCTTTCCAAATTTATCAACTTTCCTTTCTGGCCGTAAGGTACAGGCGAGGGGAAAGTAAGTACTCATCAGTACCCCATACAACGAGCCTTTTCAATCGTCATCTGCTAATGCACCGTGGTCTGCTTCTGCATCCTCCTCTGCAATGGCCATTACCTTTTCAATAAGCCGAAGTGTAGCACGCAACGGTAACCCGATAACATTATCGTAGCTCCCATTAATCTTTTCCACAAGCACCGATCCTAGCCCCTGCATCCCGTACCCTCCGGCCTTATCGGCACCTTCTCTTGTCCTCACATACGCAAGCAGCAATTCGTCAGTAATCTGAGGATCAAATCGAACGCTCGTCTCCTCCACCACCGACTCAAGTGCATATCCAGGAGCCTGCGCACTTTCCAGAGGCGCTATAGCAACAATTGCAGTGTACACTTTATGATCCCCCGCATCCCTAAGCCCCTGTAACATACTAATATGCTGTGCCTCTGAGCGTGGTTTCTCCAATATATCTCCCGTTTTAGGATTCACGACAATAGTATCAGCCGCAAGAATCAACGCTGGCTCGCCCTTTTCTTCATTATCAATCTCCTGTTTATACACCGCCAGACCCTTCTGTGTAGCTGTTTCTAACACATATTCAAATGGCGTGAGAGTCTTGGGGCAGTCTTCTGCAGTGTTAGACGGTATGATTTCGATGTTGGGCAGGCCAAGATAGGCGATAATTTGTTTGCGGCGGGGAGACGCCGAGGCCAGTATTACTCGTTTCTTCCGGAGAGTTACGAGGACAGGGAGAGAGGGTGGAAGTGGCTTGGGGAGAGGCTTGGATGCGGGGTGAGAGGCTTCATATGATGGTGGTGGGTCAGACGGTATGTCGGTCTTTTGATCAGACATGTTACTTGGTCCGGCTTCGTTTTCTTCTTCTTCGTCTTCTTGGAGGGACGGTATGATATTATAGACGTATGAAGTAGCGTTCCTAAGGATGTTCATCTTCGAGTTTGGCGGATAGAGAAACTTCAAGTATTACATACTATGTACATAGTATGTAAATATTCTCTTGTCCTATTAGCGCGTTTTGGTGTTGCCACGCTGGTGGGTCGCGCTTACTAACTTTTTTCTCTATACACACACACAACCTCGTCGCGCACCTTTCACCTTGACAACGTTCTGAAGGCGTCGATGAAGGTACTATAGTGCAGCATAGGACGTTGCAGGTCGAAGTGGTTATACAAATAGCCTTGGTCCTCATCTTTGACTCATCTTCAACTAGTTATACCCCAAGTTCATTGTCCTCGTTTCTCTATACTACAGGCTGCTCTATAGAACAGCAACATGGCATCTCATCATCACCGCCAACCATCCTATGAGGGCATCATCGATATACCTGGGCTTTCTCACGTCCCACCGCAGCCTCACCACCGCCACCAAGCATCGCTGGAAGGAATTATAAACTATTCTTCCTTGGCGCCCTTGTCTGCAGACGAACGTTCTCGTGCGCAAGGGGTGTTGGACAGGATCATCAATCGTCTAGCCAGCCACAGCCATGTCAACCATGGATACAGTTGCCATCTGCTCGTTCGTCACAGTTACGACTATTCGCTGTCCGAGTTATCCAAGGACACCTTCCTGCGAGTTTTCTTTAATTTTATGGAGCTAGAAATCAGTAGCGACGAAGACATCGATACAGATGATGACCATATACCCCCGAAATTTATTCAATTTGCGGATATGCTCATTGAAAAGTTCTTCTTCCCATGTATGTGCTATAGCTCATTTTGATTGTCTTCCAATCATTAACAATTCTATTTCAGTGAGAGCAAGTGGAATGACTACTCCACAACCTACTCCCGCACAGCTCTCAGCAACCCGAAGTGCACGATCACTACACGATATCACTGGCACCTCTGAGCGAGTTTCATACCTTCGAGCTCTTTGCCTTGTTCGGGATCATCACCGCTGTGTGATATCCCGAGTTTTTGATGCGCAGCAGGCGATAGTTCGAATGACTCAGTACGGTTTAAATGCTCAAGATGATGATGGGAATCTCATTATAGATGGAGATAGAGGTGAAGTATTAGATGTCGCGCATATTCTCCCGCACTCCCTCACAAAAGTGGACGAGAATTTGCAGCTGGTAGGTCTTCCGTCCAGGAATGGGCTTTCACATGGCTAAATGATAGATAGAGCGACTCTAGAAGGATCGCGATTGATATCCTTAACATGTTTGATTGTGATGTGGCTCAAATCATTGACGGTCCTCGCATCGACAGCCCGTGTAATGCTATTACTCTGTCTCATACTTGGCATAACCATTTTGGTAATTTTGATGTATACTTCGATGCTATCCCCGGCGAAGAACACACCTATCGCATCAACGGCTTTTTCAACCCTGCTGTGGGAGCATATTGGGGACTACCTGTTACTCGCAAACTCTTTCTGAGCGAAGAAAGAGTGGTAGATGCACCATCCCCCCGCCTGCTTGCTTTACATCGGGCTATTGCCCATATTCTTCACCTTTCAGGCGCTGGGGAATACATCAATAGAATACTCCGGGATTTTGCAGAAACCGGTGTGCAAGCGGATGGGTCGACGGACATAGGACGTATTGTCAACCTTAGGCTCAGTGGTTGGAGAGCAAGTGCTGTTAAAGTTTATTAGCGAGCTGTACGATACTCTTTGGGGAGTTTACTGTGGTGTATATGTTGTTCTGGAGGGCGTTGTTTTCGGTTTTCATACATGAGGCCGTGGGTCATAGGTTTTTCATCACTTCGTCATTCCCATTGCTTTGACAACCAGCTTATTATTTAGGGATGGGCGGGAAACAAGAGCCTAAACGTAAAGAGGAAAGGTTTTGTAAAATAGAAAACTGTGAAAGATGGGCATTTCGCTCGGCGCAGTGGGCTCTTCGAGGAAGCATTATACCCTCTCTTTCTCCAATTGGCATGCCACCGCTAGAACCATTCTTAGCCATGGCAAAGTTAAGGCTATCGGTCCACTATACTCCCCTTCTCTATATTTAATAAGCTCTATATGTTGTATTTTATTCTTAAATGGTTATAGAGCATAATATCTCATCTCTCTTCTTGGCGTACATAGAGTTGAATATACGGAGGCAAGTAGGTGAGTTGGTTCAAGAGAATAACGATTGTCGTTACATAGAGTATGTATAAGCATTCTCACTGCGTTGGGCACGAAAATCGGACTATCCTATAGTTATAGACAGTAAAGTTCCAAAATATCAAGATGTCCCCTCAGGAAACAAGCATCTACAGAACAATTAAGGCAAAAGAACCAATATAAACACCAGTTTAACACCGACTCGGTGGGTATCACAGTTCAGCCATCCAGAACCTCCATCTCTTTCCAACCATGAGACCATCAAAACGCCATTCGTACATCCATATAACACGTAGTAGAAAACTAGTGGACCGGAAATCACCGTGTGATGTGCATAACATTTCGCAGCCTGTCGTCGACCCTGCCTCCCCTCCGCTCAATCTCCTCGATAAGATCTTTTCGTTCCTGGACCTTGAGATGCATAAAGTCCACTGTCTTTCGCAGCACCATCCCTTCGCTACGGCCCTGGCCAGTCAAGCCCGGAACAAGCTCGGTTAATCTGTCGAATCCCTCTCGTATGGCCGCTCGTCGTTTCTGTTCCGAGGCAATGTGGTTGTTCTTCTTCTCTTGCTCGGACAGGCGTGGTTTTTCTCTTTCAGAGGTGGTGGGTCGGGGATCAGAGGGTGAGTTCGAAGTTCTCTTTACTGATGGTTCGCCATCTTCGCCGGGAGTTGAGCTGGGCATTCGAGCTGTTCCTGCTCCTGTTCCTGCTCCTGTTGCGGTGCGGAGAGTTGGAGAGACTGGTGAGACCGACAACGACATGATGTATAGCCGGTAGCCTGTTAATGAGTAGACGGAATAATCGAGGTCAAAGAAGGACAACAGAGTGTCTAATTATGCTCTGTATGCTTTCTCCGATGTCTTCTGCTTGATCTTGATCTTTCTCTTCTTCTTGGTCTTTTTGCTGTGAAATTCATGAAGAAAGCCCGACGAGGAAAAATTAGCACGTGAATCCATGATTAATGCTGTACATAATTAAATATTATATAATCAATGACATAATATTTGATTACTTAAGATAATAACATCATAGAAATTGCCTTGAACTTCAAGTTCGTCGAATTCATGAAGAGAGAAAAAAAAAAGCAGTGCTTTGTTCTCGCTATGCGACGGCCCTTTTTCTCTTTGTGTTAAGACACACCATACGACTACGATTCTCGCTGAATCCTACACGTTGATACCATGAGCCAGGTACTTCGAGGCGGTTGTTCGTGCGGTCGGAACGAGTGTTTCATCAACATCCCACTTGACGCCAGTGACAAGGCAGAGGTCTACTTTGATTCAAGCAGTGTGAATCGTGAGATTATAATCACAGATGGCTTAATTAAGATCTAGTTAATTAGTTCTGACTATTTGATTTTGGTTGTGGATAGGTCGGACGCAGGCCACTCCGTTGACAGCATGGCTCCGAGTACCCCTTGATTGGTATCAGTCGGCAACAGTGTCTTATTTTCCTGATGAGACGCATGCTGCTATTCGCCGGACCTTTATCCCGCCAGAGGATCCGCATTGTCGACGTGTCTTTTGTGGCTTCTGCGGCACGCCACTAACTTACTGGACCGAGAGTCCTCCAGAGGAGGCGGACTATATGTCAATTACCGTGGGGAGTCTCTTCAGCCAGGATCAAAGCGCACTAGAGGACCTGGGGTTGCTCCCAGAAGACATTGATACTGGGGCATCAGTTATTCCGGCGTCATCTAGCAGAAGTGTCACTCCCGCGGCGGCGTCTTCGTCCAGACAAGTCGCCTCCAGGGAACCACAGGTGTTTGTGAGTCGCCAGAGAGGTACGTTTGGGGGAATTCCTTGGTTTGAAGAGATGATTGAAGGAAGCCGACTGGGGAGAGTTGGTAAACGCCGCCGAGGAGTCGGAGGCAATGAATCAATGCATGTTGAGTGGGAGGTGACCGAGTGGCATGACACCGTGCCTTCCATAGATGTGGAGACACACGAAACTACCACCGTCAGTCCAAGAATATCTGCTAAGAGAAAATCTCCTCAGGTTTGTTAGTCTTGGCTGCAGTCGCCTAGCCCTATTTTAACCTTGCAGTCACCATCTAACGAGCACATTAGGAGTGAGTCCTTCCTTGGCAGACAGTCAAGGCTCCGGGGTCTCAACTAATTTTGCACTCGAATACACGGGCGTGTCTTGACTTTAGAACCTTTAATTGTTGGTACCGGGTTCGATCCCAATATATTTCAATCCATGGCCATTGGAGTTTACATTTCATTTCATTGTCCTCAGCTGTTAAGGGGTTTTGCCTTTGCTTTGACTTCGGGCACTATATACAGTCTTTGGCATCCTGTATATCATCCCACTGGTTATTCTGGTGATATTTTTGAAATCAGACTGAGAAATCATGTTCAACTTTTGAAACTAGCCTTCAGTTTGGAGCACGTTGGGCTTTATATCTCTATAATATTATATTCATGTGTCGACGCTGTTCCATATAGCTCGACCTTGGTGATAGTATAGGACCAGATACTATTAGCCATTCTTATGTTCTCTTCTACTCTTGGAGCTACGGTTCTCACTTTTATACTATGTCTTTAACCCAGGAAAGTTCCATTATTATTATTTTCACTTATCCCCCTTAGACATAATAACAATGGGGATAGAGGAAAGTCAGTGTCCTCTATCTCCTTGTGTTATTCTATGACGTCGTGCCTAGCTCAGGGCCGAGCACCCTTTCAGGCTATTCTATTCTTTCTCTATTTTCTACACACACAACTTTTTCCTCTTTTCGTATCACAACATACTACTGTGTTATAGCTCGTGTCCTCTACCTCGTTACCCGGCTGAGTGACAGGATGTATCAATCATCCTACGTCTTGTGATTAAAGTGTTTTTACACAGCAAGAGGACAGTGGGAGGATCTAAATCTTCAACCTACCATGGCAGACACGTCCAAAATGGAGAACCAGATGGACGGGATGGCTGTTTGTGAGCCTATATCTACAAATGAAAGCATGGCCTCGGTGGGTTCTACGCAGTCTACGGGCAATATCAAAACAGCCTACCCTAGATTCATGACCATGATTGACCCGGCTCTTCAGATTTTCCCTCAAAGTTCCAGTCTCATTCGCAGGCCTTCAGCCGATCGGTCTAAGCAACGCCCGGAAACGCCTACTAGGTCGCTGCCAGTTAGTTCCAGCCGACTTCGCCAAAAAACATGGGCCTCGGTCGCATCAAAGGGAGTGGATGCAATTCGTTCATCGGCAAAGTCAACCAATTATAGCAAGAGAACTCCTTATAGAAATGGCCAGTCTTCGGGAGTGGTACGTAAATGATAATGAGCGGCCTGGGGATTTGTATAAATGCTGACATATACTTGGATAGGGTTCCTATCGGTTGATTTCCGTTACCCAGACAGAGCAACAATCTACCCGTTGCCCAGATAAGACCAAGAGGGAATACAATTATGTACATATGCTCCCACAAAAGGCATTTAAGTTTATATATTTGGGTCTAACCTTGATGACTTTTAACAGAACTCCTGTGCTGAAAGTTTGGTAGATAAGGCACTTCCTTCTGAAAAGCCATTGCCATGCCCTCCTGAATCTACCCTCAATGTTGATATGACATCCGATCTAACATCGCGTACCATCATCAACACGAAAGAGAATGTATTACCCCGCTCACCTCCTGAAGCTCCTCGCGAGGGTGACGACTGGCCGGCCCTTACACCAGGGAAGGCAAAAAATGAAACGAATAATGACAACCGCCAGAACAATGAGGCCAAATTGACTCGGATTGACGAAGAAGGAACATGCGAGCCAATTCCTGACGGTGTCCAAATGTTTGCTAATGCTTTATCCAAACTTACAAAGGCCACAGAACCTTGCAAGGCAACCATCAGTGGACATATACATGCTGAGGAGGAAGGCTCTGGGCCTGAGAAAAATACAGTGGAAATCCCTGTTTCCAGTTCATCAAAATGGAATACATCTTCTCCTGACCAGTCGCCTATAAATATTCCATTTTCTGCATCCAAAAAACCACTGCCACTAAAGATCGTGACTGATTTCTCAAAGAACTCCGTATCATCTGAACGGCCTTTTGCGTTTCACGGCCTAGGAGTATCACCTAATTACCATTCTCGGGTCCCCAAGCCTAATCCTTTTAGGGACCGTCCCAGAATCGCGTCTTCCCCCTGCGGTGCAATCTCTTTGCCGATTAGGGATATTAGGGCTTCTTCCTGTTCATTTGAAAATACGCCTTCGTCTGTTAAAACCCCTAGAGCTGTGACCTCGAAGGAACAGCCAACTGGAACGCCCACCAGATCCAACCCCTTCTACACCGGATCACCTCGAACGGACAGAAGCAGTTCCAGAATTCCTCGTATGTCCCCAAGGGCATTGTTCCCCAGCTCGGAAAGTGATTCAGGTAGTGGTAATGGCTCAAAAGCATCTCTATTCTCCCCTTCTAAGCGAAGCTCGATACCATTACCAACGCGCCTACTTCAGCAAACCAAAGAGGATGATATTATTGGGAACTTGCTCAAGGGGGTCACCCCATCTGCTATCTTCGATAGGGTCGAGAACACCAGGGCCGAAATGGCTACGACAGAACTGGATTCTCCTAATAGAAGCAAAGGAGGCGCCATTTCAGCGCATCACACATCGCATACTGATCTCCAGGAAGAAACCCAGAGCCTGGAGGAGAGAGCGGACCCATTTTCTGATGAAATTACTGTGAAACAACTTTCAAAATCCGCGCCATCCCATGGCCCGCAGCTGCGTATTTCACCAGAGGCCGAACGCTTGATTATGGGCGAAGATGATATCAAGTTACTCGAGAGAAACACGAGGGAGAGCGGGGGCCCCAGTCGTCAGTCAGGAAGCAAGAGAGAATTCCGCCTTTCTACCGATAGCCTCTTTGCAACTTTTTCCTCTAAGCGCTCCAAAAATTCATCTTATAGGCTATCCTTTAGTGGCAAATCTTCAATGGGCGAAAACAGTCCTACACCCGCTGGAGGAGCAACTGGGAAGTCAATTCCAAAAGCCAAGAGTGCGGATTTTGGCCTTCATCGAGTCTCATCTGGCCATCGCCCAACAAGACGAAAGTCTTCTTCTGGAAAGGAGCTGTCTTGTCCAGCTTCTGAAAGGGTTGAGGCTGACCCCTTTTTAGACACAGAAGATAAAGTCTTAGATTTCAAGCAAGCTTCACCTGCACAGGCAGATTGTGAATCTATCATGCAGCCTGGACAGCTCAATGAAGACCCATGCGACTCTCCGGTTATTGAATCTATCAAAAAGAGTTCGATTCCCCTTGCTGTGGAGAACACCTCTCCATCCAAGACACCTGGTCCAGTAGAACGAGCTCGGAGATCCCACAATGAGGTTCTTAAGATAAATTCTCCAAAAAGCCCCCGGCATACCAGTAGAATTAGTGCTTCATATGACTCACCTCGAAGATACCCACATCGGCAATCTACCGATCGAGCCCATCATAGACCAAAGCCAAATAATGATAACCATAATGGGGTGCATCAACTCCAGTCACTGGACACTGAGAATCCAGGGCAGAAAGAGAAACGTCATAAGAAACGTCACCACCGCTCTGCTGACCCTATTTCAGTAGCTCCTGAAGCGGCTAAAGCCAAAGGATCCGCTGCAAAAGGCGTATTCTCCAACTTCCGCGGGTTATTCACAAAACACAAGCCCGATGCGCCAAAGGAAAACACTCGTCATTTGCTATCTGATGTAAAGCCAATGGCTACTAACCATGTCAAACTCTCGGTACCAGCATCTCACTCAGTTCCTCACCTTGGTACGAATGGAAACGGACATCAGAATGCGGACTTCAATTCTCGACATCTCGAGCCACCACGCTCCCCTGCATTACGGGATACGGGAAGAATCAGCTCTATCACGATGGAGATTCTTGATTCAGCACGGAATGAAGTTGATACAACACGCAAAGAGAAGCTCATTAGAGTAAGTGCCACTTCAGCTCTGTGTGTACTTAGTCATTTAACAGAATGCTAACTGTCGTAATATTTTACTACAGCTGGGCAAGATTCTTATTGAGGCGGTGAACAATTCCCATGACGCCGAGAAGGCAATGCTGACTGCCATCCAAGCGGCAAAGGAGGCGGAAGTAGCCTGTGCTATGGCGAAGGAAAATGCAATGAAAATGAGCCAGGTTGCCTGTGACTGGGCACGTCCTTTGGCACCGGCCAAGAACTCCAACGCCTAACTTTGAGATATTACTTAGACTGGGTATCCTGAGCCCTGATGAGCTGACAGCTTTAGGCCTCCGAGCTTATGATTTCGATTGCAACTTCCCTAGCTAACCGATGTTTCTCTGGTCTGTGAGGTACATACCTGATGCTGTTGTACGTGCCGGACGTCCGTTATTATGTTGGTTCCCTTGAGCCCCTTTTGACCTTTCCCCCTGCTGCGTTCGTGTTCTCCTCACTTCCCTGTAGGGCTATGGCGGTATTTTTCAGTTCTCAAGACGGCCATGATGCTCACAGCCGGCTTGAAAATCTCCAGCCTAGTTAGTCTATGGGGATGTAGTAACTGAAAGATCCATAGCATATCGAATGTAAAACTCTTCCATAAATTTTCCCCCTATAATAAGTAGTGCTAAACCAGAGAAAATGATGTTAAGGTACTTAATGATGGCTATGCCGTATGCTGCTAACACGATTTATGATCATATCGTAGATATTGATCGTATGACTTCAAATCCTCACAGCCTAGCCTTCGCATCATTCCTATAATAATAAGTTAGTAGGTGAAATTGAACTATGGAAGGTGTATGATATATGGCTTATGGGGCGCCCCGTACACATATGCAATACATTCTATCTCAACGTCAGTATCCAAAGGCAACTGCTTCACGGCAACGCAAGTTCGACACTATAGACAGTTAATAAGACAAGGAATTGAGCAGTTCTTTGAAGATCGGGAAACTTACTGGTTTCGGGTCATCTTTGAAAAATGTTTCATACACCTTGTTCATCTCTACAAAGTCATCCATGGTGGTAATAAAGGCATTGATTTTTACTACGTTCTTTAAACTGCTGCCACCAGCCTCCAGCACTGCTGCGAGGTTCTTCAGGGCTTGGTTCTACTGGCTGTTAGTTTGTTGTATAGATCCCATAGTCGAACGAATGCTTAAACTTACTGTTCTCTCTGCAACTCCCCCAGAGACGAGCTTGTTGGTAGCCGGATCCATTCCAATACTTCCGGAACAGTAGATCATGCCATTGTGAACAATGGCTTGGGAGAATACTGGAAGTGGTTTAGGAGCTTTACTGGTAAGGACAGCGGTTTTGGGGGCCATACTGAGGAACGGATGGTATATAGGAGGGACTGCCTTAATATTGTGAATGGGAGAAGTTATTATATGGGATTGCTCTTCCTCTACGAGATGTCAAAAATCCGGTTATTATATAAATTGCGGAGGCATCGGGCTTGTTATTGATCCGGCAATGTTGAGTAGACGAATACGAGCCAGGTATTTTTGTAGAAAATATTACTTTGAATACTGATTACTTTGAATACTGATTACTTTGAATACTGATTACTTTGAATACTGGGAGGGATGATAGAAGCAATAGTGTATTAAAAAACACTAGGAGAATACAGGATGCTATTATTTATATTCTTTGATATACAAAATATAAAATAGTAGGGTATCGGAAGAGCAGATAAAGTATGCAAATCAATCCTCAATGCCACTCCATGCTTCATCTTCGATATCATCAACGTTGGACTTCTGAGCATGCTTCCTGGATTGGCTTCCCTTGATAGCTCCTTTCCGGTTGTTCTCTATCCTCCGCTCAAATCCACTCTTAGTGCTGATACGGGTCGCGTGGCGGTTTTTATCATTGTTCATTGCTGCTGTTCTGCGCCGGGCCTGCACTCCATGGCGCTTTAGGTCTTTTTTGTCATTCTTCGTTAAATCTGGCAGTGCATCAAGAAGCCATTTCTGGATGCTTGGTTCGTCACTTTCGCCACTGCGCAGCTTCTCGCTGGCAGCGATCACATTGGCGATGTTCTTGACGTATGGAATATCCTCTTTAGTGTAGAATGTAACAGCGACTCCACCCTCTCGGCCAGCCCTACCAGTTCTTCCGACCCTGTGCACGTAGGCAGCAGCTGAGTTGGGGATATCATAATTAACAACACCGTTGATTCCTCTGAAGTCCACGCCTCGAGAAAGAAGGTCGGTAGTTATAATAATCCAGATTTCACCCTTCCTGAAACCGGCCATGACGTCGGACCGCTGATAGTCGGAGAGCTCTGAGTGTAAAACTGCAATTCGCGAAGAGCCGCCTGCTTCTGGTGGGATATCGTACATAAGTTCCGAGTGCAATGCTACTGCTCGTGGAATAGTTTGAGTAAATATAATAAAGGGAGGCCGAAGATGTTTGCTTGCAGACGCAGTAGCTGTCGTTGGGTGTAGAAGTTGTCTTAGCCCTAGAAGTTTTCCTTGCTCTGTTGCAGCGTACGTGAGTGTATGAGAGATATTGGGAATAGCTGAGTCCTTTAGGCCTACAACCAATCTTATTAAGAAAGATTCCTCTTTTAGGCCCAAGGACTTTTGACGCTCTCCGATGGTTGACTTGGCTAGTTCTTCGATATTGGATCCCATAGTTGCAGACCACAGGCCGACGCGTAGTCGTGGGTTGACGCATGATCGCCATATGCTCAGAGTCTGGTCTCTAAACAGAGGGTCTAGTAAGACGTCTGCTTCATCAAGGACAAGGGATCGAACCAAAGGCATCGAGGCTAGTACTTTATGGCCATTATCAGATAGTGCATTGACTAGCTGTAAGGGAGTTGTAATGAGGATATCACTTTTCGTTACAGTGGCGAGAGGCTTTGGCTGTTCTTTTGGTCGTTCTTCTTCGCTATCTGCATCGCTGTCGTCGCTGGTTCCATCTCCCTTCTTCATAGATTCCCCACCACGTTCTTCCACTACCCTCATACCTTTTCGCATAACTGTAATTTTAACCCCAGTACCAAGAGCGAGTTTTCTACCCTCGTTTGCAATCTGACTTGCAAGCTCTTTTGTTGGCGCAACAACAATGGCCCGAATCCCTTTTGACTGATCACTGGGATTCTGGTGTCGGTGTTTCATAATCTTACTGATGAGTGGGATCATGAATGCCAATGTCTTCCCGCTCCCAGTGGGTGCAACTGTAAGAAGATCAGGCTCGCTCCTCTCACCGGCTTGCCTCGAGTCACCTTTGTCTTCTTTGTCATTGTCTACAGATATAAATGGGCAGCCGAGAAGTATGGGTAGACAGCCAAGCTGTACTTCCGTAGGTACAGTATACCCTTGATTTTGTATATTCTCCAACAATCGGCTCGAAATATTATATTTCGACCTTAGCAAGTCGAACGAGACAAGTGGTTCTGGATAGATTGCCTGCAATGCTTTCCGCTGCTTTTTTGTAAGAGCAACCGTAGTCTCTTTTTCTCGTTTCCGTTTTTTGGTTGTTTTCTTCGTCGTTTCGGGTTCGTCGTTGGTGCGTAGCTTCGGTGTCCGGAGATCAGTGACTTTGATCTTGTGGGTTTTGAGAATCGCTTTTCTCTCAGATTCGGAGAGTGAAGTAGGCTGTGCGCCTAAATCAGAGCTGCTATTATCCTTGTCACTATTCTGGTCCTCGTTGGGATCTATTTCCGCAGTACTCGAGTTGACCTCCGGTGCTGATGATGACAGCCCACTGAAGAAATTCAATCCTGCGTCCTTGGTTGTAGAGTCGCCTCCACGTCCAGAACCCCGTTTTCTCTTTTTTCCTCGACTATCGCCATCATTCTGTTTCCCCTTCACACTGGATTGTTTGGCGGGAAATAATTGTGGCGTGCTAGCTTCCCCTGTCGATGGTAGGCGATTGGCAATTGATCCTTTTTCACAGATAGAAGAAGATTTGAGCTTCGTAGATCTCGTGAGGAGCTTAAAAGCATCCATCCTGGAGGAAATCAACGAGACAACCCACGTTGTCCTTTTTCTCTTGACCAACTCATGAATTCGAGTATTTTTTTTTACTTTTGCTTTTTAACAAAATGACGAAAGATTTTTATATCACGTGACATAGATAGGGTTTGAAGTTTAATGCTTAAATCTTGATATTCAACTGCAACATTTTCAACTTCCAACTTCAATTTTGACGGTCAACATTTGTTGATATTGATAGTATTCTCTGATATACTACACGTTCATGGCAGTTTTTTTATGAATTTCTATTGGGACAACGTGTTTATTTTGGGTTGTGCTTTTTACACGTATCTAGTCACACTAGCTATCACAGCTGGGATTCAACATGACACAAGGATGAAAGATTTCTGAAGCGAATGATGAGCTTTGGAATATAATATTATATTATATCAACTTGATTCCGCGTTAGTGTCTCTAACTATATGACTCAGTTTTGCACACTACTCTAAGAGCAGACTCATACAATTCCTTTTCGCAAGGATGGGCCAAATACTGTCGACTTTCAGTAGGTTGAGGAACAAAAAATGGGATGTACTTGACGGTTGGTCCCTATTTCATTTTTCGGCCATCTCTTCTCTATACTTCAGGGCATGGGAATGTTCATTTTAGCTGGTGACATTGAGTTAACATGGCAAAAGAATCCCAAGCTGCCAAAGAGAATGAGCTTATGTTCCAAGGATTTGAATGGCATGTTCCTGCAGACCAACAGCACTGGAACAGACTTCATGAACGTCTCCCACGTCTAAAGTCAATTGGTGTGAGCAGCATCTGGATTCCACCTGGCTGTAAAGCTGCGACAGGCGGCAACGGTTATGATATCTACGATCTGTATGACGTGGGTGAATTTGATCAAAAGGGCCAAATCGCAACAAAATGGGGATCGAGAGCAGATCTTGAAACATTTATCGCTCGAGCAAATGAGCTCGGTATCGGGATATACTGGGATGCGGTTCTTAACCACAAGGCAGGGGCGGATAATAAGGAGCGATGCATGGCTGTTCAAGTTGACCCGAAAGGTAAATAATGTATATGCACAACGTTTTTATTTATGATGCATGTAAATCTAATCATCCTATAGACCGGACTGTGAACATTTCTGAACCTAGGGAGATAGAAGCTTGGTTAGGTCACGATTTTCCTGGCCGGGGAACCAAGTGTAGCGACCTTAAGTATCATTGGTACCATTTCAGTGGAATAGATTATGATATCCTCCAGAAGCAATCTGGCATCTACAAACTGATAGGGTCAGGAAATAAGGATTGGGCCAAAGACGTCAGCACTGAGAATGGAAATTATGACTACCTCATGTTTGCAGATGTGGATTATTCGAATACTGAAGTCAAAGAGGATGTTAAACGTTGGGCTGAATGGCTCGGGGCTCAATTCCAATTGAAAGGCATGAGGCTCGATGCTGTCAAGCATTACTCGAGGGCGTTCTTGAAAGAGTTTATCCAGCATATTCGAACGACCGTCGGACGAGAATGGTTTCTGGTCGCAGAGTACTGGAGTGGAGATGTTAGCCTCCTGCTAAATTATTTGGATCAGATGGAAGGGCTGGTATCTCTATTTGATGCCCCTTTGACAGAGAGGTTCTCCCTTTTTGCGAAGGGGGGCCAAGACATGCGAAGGATATTTGATAGGACCCTTGTCCAACTTCGACCTCAGAGTGCAGTGGTATGTCCCTAGAGATCAATGGTACCCTACTCAACATACAACTAACCATGGACAGACATTTGTTTCCAATCACGATACCGTAAGTTATAATAGCACCGCACATGAATGCTATAACTAACAACGTGACTTAGCAACCAGGGCAATCCCTCGAAGTAAAGGGCCTATCCCTTTGATTCCTGCCATTTACTTATTTTGGCTAACACATATATAGATATTAATAGCTGGTTGGTTCAAGCCACTTGCATACGCCCTCATTCTCCTCCGCCAGGATGGCTACCCTTGCCTTTTCTATGGTGACCTTTACGGCATAAAAAACACTGAACCGAAATATCGGCTTCCACCTGTTGACAAACTAGCGGCATTGGCAACAGTCCGAAAGCTGTACGCGTACGGGAAACAGAGAGACTATTTTGATAATAAGAAATGTATTGGTGAGTTTGTAACCCCCACTTAATCTGACCCTAATCTACGCTAGTAAAAGCTTCAGGTACTCATACAGGGACAGGTTTTATCCGTTATGGCAACACAGCACACTCATATGGCCTTGCTTGTGTACTTAATACCAGCACTAGTGCCGCACCCATGTCAAAGACAATGTATGTCGGCGTACGCCACGCAGGTGAGAGATGGACGGAAGTATTCACATCTGGTGCGGTTACTACCTCCCCAGTCGAGGTTGATCATCGAGGATACGCCGAATTCAAGATTGGGCCACAAAGTGTCAGTGTTTGGGTTGACGAGAGGGCAGAAGGTAGAGAAGGGATTGATGTCCATGAGGCGCATGCTTGAATCTGATTATAAGCTTGGGAAATTTGAAGAGAAACGGGTTCCCTGGGAAGGCAAATTGATATATGATTGATGATATGAATGGATGCTCATCTTCAGTTTGCAAAGTTGCAGCCAATACAGACACAACAATGCCATATAACTTTCCACATCAATCATCTTTCTATCCATCAAATGCATCCCCCCCGATGAGGGATGTTCCAACCTAAAATATCATCTTTACCGCCAGCTGTAAGTATTGGTTCCATCCGTTAATCTCCAGTGAATAATGGGGCAACATAAAGAAAAGAGAAAGAGAGAAGGGAGCGTCAATATACTAGGAGTTCAAACGAAAGTAAAGCGTCCTAGAGTTGATTGCTTGTTGTATCGGAAATTCGTGAGGCTTTTTGTTCTTATTTTTGTTTTCTTCTCCATCGACATGATGAGTAATCAAAATATTTGTATTGTTTGCACAGCTTGTTTTACACGTGACTTGGATTTTTCCATTTATTGTGAAAAGAAAAATGCGTAAAACGAGGATGGGAGATGCTGAGATGGGAGATGCTGCGCAGGCTGCCAGAAGATCCGACCGACTGGTATTTAGATGAACTAAATGATCTTGGAAGGGTTCGAGGTTGGGGCTGGTACCCTACCTTGATAGCTTGTAACTAGTGGGAGCAATCGGATGTAGGGGCGTCGCCCACAGTGGTATGATGATATTCCACGCAAGCCCATATCAAATAACGCTACCAGGCCCTGGCAAAAATCTTCTGCTTCCATACGGAGTACTCCGTACGGAACTGGAGCCCTTGAGAGTTAGGCTGCAGGTTGGATACCTGCCTGGACCCGAGTGGTTCAACACTGTGGCGTTGGAAAGCCGTGCTCTGTTCACGCTTATCTCGTGGATGCTGCATTTGCTGTTCCGACGAGCAGCGATCAGCAGCGGAACCCTTAACTATGTAAGTAGTACAGCATTAAGTGGCGTTTGCGTGGTGTTCTTGGGTGTTTGAACTACCACATGGCCTGCCGTAGGCATGTCCGCAGCTAAATAGAAGCTGACATTAGACATGTTTCTACGACTTCTTAATTGTAGACACCATAACAGCTTTTCAAAGCAACAGAAATCATCGTGTAGCCTTACCGACAATCCCTATATTTATTTGTTCCATGCCTGTTATCGTCAAAGCGTCTGCAGGCATTGGCGCTAATAACCCCCGGTCCGATGTTTCCACGAGCCGACCAACTCCACCGAGTCAAAAAGGAGTTGAAGGATGCACACCCGGGGCGCATTGATATATATGTATTTATATATATGTATGTATGGTGGGGGAAAGAACTTCGTATATCCCAAGATATTGCAGGAAGGCGGTTTTCGTAAACATGTTCCATCGTGTATGTAGGAGCCATCGGCAGTCCCATCGGCAAACGTTCCGGGGACCCCTGGGTTAAACAAGGCCAGCAATTCCACACTCACACCTTTAAGGCGGTCGGTTTGCAAACTGGTGATTGGTTAGTTAAATATCAGCATATTCGTCCTTATATGTAGCCCAAGAAATCCGTATAGAAAAGAAATAAGGAGAAGCCGTGCTAACCGGTCCGTCCCCACGGTTATATCCACTCACGTCTTCCTCTACCATCGTATAAGTACTCCGTATGAATGTTATATTTATATCGGGTTGGTAGGAATCTGAGGGAGCGTAAAGAGGAATACAATGCCCTTGTGCCTTTCAAAGTACAAAGGTTGAAACACTGATTCGGATAATTCGCTCGGCCTAAGCTCGGCATTTCCCCCCCCTCCTGACATATCATCCTGAGACCACAGAAAGGATGGGGAAAGCTGAAGAGCCCTCTGCGCCGGTTAATGCCCAACTGAAAGAAATTGCTGTGGTGGCAAGTAAGTGACCCGGAATACCAAGGAGCCATGCTATGGTACTGATGTCTGCTTAGGTCCTGTAGCTGTCCCAAATATACTTTCTGAGTCTGATATAACCGCAAATGGCGACGATACTGGCAGAAGGCTGCCTATAGGTGGCGCCTATATGTCTTCTTATAGGTGCCGCCGAATAGCTTCCAAGACGGTTCTGTCTTTTCAGTCAAAAGACCCAGAGAACCCCGTCAACTGGTCAACGGTATCTTGCCCTCTGGCTCTTCCCAATTGGCCACCATGCTAACTCAGTAGAACAAAAAACTTCTCATTCTGTTTTCCGGGGTCATGAACGTGCTGAATAGTACCCTAGGCTCCTCTTTACCCAGCGGCGCAATCCCTTTTATAGCACGAGAGTTCAACGTTCAATCTACTGAGCAGTTGACTCTTCCCATCTCTCTGTTCTTGCTTGGCTATGTTTTCGGTCCAATCGTGTGCGGGCCCCTATCGGAGTCCTATGGGCGTAAGCCAGTGATCGTAGTTGGTTTCGTGGCCTTTATGTTGTTCACGCTTACATGTGCTGTAATGCAAAGCTGGGCAGCGTTGCTAGTTATGCGTTTCTTTGTGGGAGTGGCTGCAGCAGCACCCATCTCTGTTGTGGGTGGAATGCTTGCGGATGTCTATGACGAGCCAAGGACGAGAGGGAGGTATATGGCTCTTTTCATGGCAGTAAGGATGAACTTCAACTCCTACCACTATCCCAAAAAAATAAAAAAGAGGCTAACTTTTGCAGTCAACTTGTGCAGGCCCTATTGTTGGGCCCCCCGTCACTGGTTTTATATCAGTGGTGAATTGGCGATGGAGTTTCTGGGTAGGTTTAATATTTGCAGGTTTAACGGCTCCTGTTGTATTTCTAACGCCTGAAACGTATGCGCCAATTCTCCTACAGCGCAGAGCCCGAAAACTACGCAAGGAGACAGGAAACGATAAGATTGTCGCGGCGCTCGACCTTGAGAAAAAGGGAATCAAAGAGACCATGACTGTGACACTGACGAGGCCCATTAGAATGATCATACATGAATCAATTGTGCTCTTCACGTGTCTGTACCTAGCATTGGTATATGCCATTTTCTTCATGTATTTTCAGACATACCCGTTGATTTTTCAAAGTGAGTATTTCCGCACCCTTTGGTCAAGAAAAAGTAATCGCTAACGAATTATCCTAAAAAGACACATATCACATGAGCCCTGGAGTTGCAGGACTGATGTACTTACCAAGTAAGCTTCCCGATACACTCCATTCCATTTGGACTTGGACAGCTCTAACGAAGTGGATTAGTTGGTGTTGGGGTTGCTGCAGCCCTCGGCCTCTTTTATTGCTGGGACGGCTTCCTCCACCGTGCAAAACTTCGGCAGGCTTCTTGGGCAGCCGTTGAAGAATACCGGAGACTTCCTCTAGCTGTCATTGGGGGCCCACTCTTCGTCATAGCACTCCTTTGGCTGGGATGGACCGCCTCGCCTAAAATCCACTGGTCTATCCCGATGCTCTCCGGCATCCCATTTGGCGCAGGTTTCCTCCTCATTTTTATTGCAATGGTCAACTACCTTTCTGATGCGTACGAGACCTTCTCAGCCAGTGCACAATCAGCTTCAAGCTTTTCCCGAAGCATCCTCGGGACGGCACTCCCAGTTGCTGCAGGGCGTATGTATGCCGTCCTGGGTATAAGCTGGGGATGTAGTTTGCTTGCCTTCGTGAGCCTGGCGATGACAGTAATTCCGTTTGCTTTTATTCGGTATGGGGACAGGATAAGGGCTGGAAGCAGGTTTTGCCAGCACCTCAAAGAGTTGAAGGAGCAACAAATGAGAGAAGATCAAGAAGAAGAGGCTAAGGATAGGTTTGCTATACAGCAGGAAAAACTAGATGTACCGGAGCAGGTTTGAAGGGAGATCTCATTGGTCATATTACGGCTTGATTCCATGAAAGATATATGAACTACTAAAATATTCGACGTACTTTTTTAACCAACGTGTTCGTAATGATGGCTGATGGAGAAGCAATAGAGTATTCAAAGGTGTGGTTGTTAGTGTTCAAGTGAGTGCCCGGTAGAAGGCATTTGAGTCCAATGCTAGCGAATATCTGGCCATAGTGATAGAGCTGTCAAGTAGCCAGTAATGTAGGTAGACGAAATACAATCTCTATACAATATAGATATTGTCGTTACGATGTAGGATGAAGTTTTGTTGAAGTTGTTGGACAGAGTCAAGCTGTGCACGTGACCGAAGCTGACCGCGGTTCGAAAAAACATAGAACATCCAACTTGAAAACATCCAACGCCTTCTTCACTCTAAGGTCGGTTGACGGTGTTCCCTGTTCAACTCTGGACTTGAAAAATGAAAGATCCAAGCATTTAGAATTTGAATATAGATATATTATTTGGCAAGCTAATTATATACGTCATGATCCATCTGACTCAACCACAGACAACATACTAAATGGAGTTATTAAGAGGAATAGAAAAAGAAGCCGAAGATATGAAAATATCAGGTGAAGGGATCATTCTTCGTTATACCAATTCACAGAACCTCGATGCGAGGCCCAGTTGAACCAGCACGCCAGTCGACAATATCATAATCATAAACCCCGACAAATTCATATCCAATGAGCTGGTTGACAGGACAGTCAAATTCCGGATACCCGTTATAGCCCTGAACCCACTGTGCGCTTCCAGGAACAGTAACATAGATACGGCCACGGTGCTGGTCTCTGCTGAATGGGCGTTGGATCGGCCAGGTAGGTGGGTTGATCACGCTGAATACGTCAAGTTGCTGCGAGCCCTTGGAGACATCACCTGGAGAGGTGTCGAAGCGGAGTCTGCATCGGCGATGGTTGTAGCTGCTGCCAAACTGGAAAGTGACGACTGCGCTGGTTTCTTCGGCGGCCTTGCCGTTCTTGACCACAAGGGGTTTCCCATAAACATCCTGGTTGGTAACGCCAGTATTGATGTAGTGAAGGAATGTATCCTTAGGGGAGATGAATTGATTGTTACGAGCCTCAATCTCGGGATTGCTGGATTTGGCTGCTGGAGCAGCAAGGACGACGGCTGCTGCGGATACAATAAGAGCAGTGATCTTCATTTTGGCTGGTTGAAGAGGTGATATAACCACTATGGATTGGTTTAAAAGGCCGTCTATTGTTTCTTAGAAAGGTAGGAAGATTGGATTGTTGTTGATGTTGATGACAAGAAGAATGCTATTTCACCGGGGGTGACTGTCCAATTTATATCTCGAGAGCCAGCGCATTATCCACCATGGATACCCGGGAATGATACACCGCCATGCTCTCAGCCTGGTTAAATGAAAAGCTACATGTACTATATACCACTACTTTGTCTTTGGGCTACTTTGGGTGCAGAATTTGAGTTCTATTCTTAGAGCAGTATCCAAGCCGGAATAAACGTGCGGGAAGGTGGCTTGGAGCAAGCTCTTGGATTTGACAGATGCTACGGCAAGCTCGGGGCTTCAAATGAATACTGATACCGTGATTCCTAGGTCGTATTTCGCATCGAGTATGGCCGGATATCTATATAAAGAAAATTCTCTGATATCTGGTTCGTCCTTGAAGGTAAGACATACCCTAGCCCATTTCTATTCATTTATATTGACGACATAAAGATTCCTGCCGCACAGCCTTACAATCTGCCTCTTCTCATTCTCAATATATCCCTTTCCCAATTCATCTGGTTGACACTCTAAGTGTTTGTGTTAAGGAATACGTTGCCTGCCATTTATCATCCAAAGTCACTCTAGCTTTTCCTTCAAGCAAGGGGAACAGAGTATATCGGCACTGGAGTGCACAGGCTCCGTCATTATTTCCAAGGTGGAACTCTAAGAAGAATACTAAGTGTATGGAGTATGGCTTCAAGTCTTGGACAAAGAAGGCTGTGTCTTCGTTGTACGGCGCTATATTAGCGAACATCAAGACTATAGCCTTATTCCACGCCATAACTACATGTTTACTGGAGGCTAAGTTAAACTTCCATGCGGGAGTTCGGCTGCAAGGAGCAGCTGGTAGGCTTCTACAATCATAGTATAAGAACCCATATACTACCATCATCTGTGTAATCGCACCAATATTGCGACGGCCGATCCTTACTCTACCAGTACGATGTTTACAATCTGGATTCTAAAAGCCCGGTCGACGGCTTTCCATTACACTACATTGCCATGTGCGAACCATGGCTAAGGCTCGTCTTTGCTTTTTCTTGTGCCCCGGACGCCACAAAAGTGCATGTCTTAGATCATGGTATGGGGCTCTTCGGGGAATAATGAGCTAATTGGGCTGGGGGCGGAGTCGCATTTACCTGTTGAAGCTATCTATCAGCCTCCCCGTATTCTAAGCGATGCAGTATCAAATAACCCATAAGAATAGCGCCAACTTTTAACCCCAAGGACACTTATTTTGAGCACGTCACATTCATTAATCAGTGCCAAGATGGTAAAATAGACGATGGAATTGTTGTAACATATTTCAGCTTTCTCGTCGTATAGATAGACAATGAGTGCTGAACGGACAAATTCGATCTTTTCATCTGGATGGACTGCCCCGATATTTCCCTTTCCTTTTTTCACAAGCAGCAAGCCGGTCAACTTGGATTCTCCTGGCTTAGAATGCTAGCATTCCGCAAAAGACGGTTCGAAAGCACCATATCCCCCCTATCTTCATTATTGGCAAGTCATATTCTAAGACATAGCCTACGCTTTAGGTACACAATTCCATAACTATAAAGAAATATCAGGCAAAGACGGGGGTGATAATAAGTGACTGAAGGTAGGAATGGGATCGCTTGCTAGAGGAAGATAAAAATAAAATGAAAATGTAGACAAGAAAAATATGTAATGAGACGCTGCCAATAATGATTCAAACATGAGCAAAATTGCATAACATCTTGTCGTTGATATAATATGGCAAAACGGGGTATATTTGGAGGTCCAGTATGGAACGAAGGACAGCAAGCGTCGGGCAGCATTGAGGTCGTTATGGGAATCATAAACATAGAGAAAAAAAAAAAAATTCGTCCTATGCGCTAAACGAAAAGACCGGGTTAAAAATAGAAACGTGTGATGAGAAAAAAATGCCCTAGAGTTGGTCCTCCTATTCTGTAGAAGGCTTAGAACCCGCATCAAGGGCCTGAACATTCTCCTCTTCAGAGACCAATCCGAGTAACAACTCGGTTTCCTCTCCCATTGCGGCGGAAGTTGGGGTTGGGCAAGGAGAACGGGAAATAGATGGTGGTGTCGATGCGGATTCATGTAATTCCTCGCTTGCAACTCCGATACCTGGCGCTGCTGCACTTGAGGAAGCAGGTGTATGGACCTGAGACATTGGGGAGGGTATATACTCTGGGTCTTCTGCAGGACGTTCTCCGCACTCGATAGGCGGTAAGGCGGACGAGGCAGACAAAGCTGCATAAGAGGAACGACTTGGGGATGGTAGAGGAGATGATTGAACTATGGGTGCCGGGGCATCTGACAGAGCTGGAGGAGCCAGGAAAGTTGGTGACTCTGACTGTGCAGATATCGTCAGATCCTCTTGTTGTTCATAACACGAAGCCGGGAGAGTTGACTGGGTCTGTGATAGCGGCTCGTCATGAAGCGAGGATTCCAACTGGGTTGACACTTTTTCGTCTTCCTGGGATCCGGGGTATAAAGGTTGAGGGCCCAATAGGCTTGGTGCAGTTTCTACCGAGCTTGACAGAGCGTATGATACCGTTGAGACGTGCTGGATTTCCGGTGAGGAGCTCTGCACAACATCGATTGAGTTAATAGGCGGCTGAGACACAATCGTCATATGACTACTGGGTACTGGTATAATTGAGGGCTGAGCAGACAAGAAGGGGTCTGGCCGTGAGGAGTTTATATCCGAGGATAAACGTCCGAAAAAGCTGTATGGTGACGGTGTGAGAAGGGCAAGCAAGACGAGAAGGATGGTCACTATCAGGAGTTGATTCCCTTGACACACTATTCGTATATAATTATAAAGTGCTTTCAAAAGGTTGATATCATCCCTAGAGTATTGCGTTGGGGTGGTAGTAAGAGCTGGACGCTCTCCCTTGCGAATTGGCACTTTGACAGCTGCCTTCTCCCGAGGAGGCTCATCTAGTCCATCAATTTGCGATTGAGGGCGACCAGGAGGATTCACAGGTGCTTTAGTTGTTGGATGGGAATTTTCCACTGACATAGCGTCTTCCGTCATGCGTTCCCTTCTCAATGCTTGCTCCTGAACCAGCCTTTGCTCCAACTCATTCTTCAACTTGGCTGGCAAACATAGTCCAACTTCCACATCGACCTTTTCCATTTCCTTCCAAGCAGCTGCCCAGGCACCTTGTCCCATGAGTCCGTTTGCTGCATAGACTCGGACCTCCCACTTCTTCTCAAGGCCATCCCGATTATTGACAACCCTCTGGCCGCAATCCTGACACTTCTTTTTCACGCAGCCGCCTTTTTCATCATTATTTTCATCATCGTCGTCAGTAGTTTGTTCATCTTCATCTTCATCAGTATCATCTCCTCCAATGAAATGGCCATATGCAAGCCTGGGTCGAGTCAGGCTCAAAGTCTCTAACAATCGCTCCTCCAGCAAATCATAAGCTTCCTGAGGGTGGGATATGAGAATGCCTCTGTCACGTAGAATTCCTGTAGTACCGATCTTCTCCTCCAGCAATTTCCATCTCGTCCAGTAGGCATCAGGTAAAATCTCTCGAAGTAACTCCTTACTTGGCAGAGGTGATCCTGGAGGAAGCGAGAGAGGAAAAGAGGGTGGGAGCAGGGTGCAATGGAGTAATACGAGCGCATACTCCTTGCTTGGCTGAATTGCCTGGGGTGGACTGGTATGGTATGATCGTTGATCTGGAGACATGGGGCTTGACCGGAACGAGATATCTGACATTCTTGAAGATCTATGCGAGTGACCACCCATATGACCATTCCTTGGAACAGGTGATGAAAAGAAATTCCCATCATCTATGCCTCCGTTATCATAGTAGTCTTCGTCACCCATCTGTAAGGCCCGTACAGAGCTCGGATGGCGAAATGGCGAGTCCATGTCTCTTACTTGCGGTACGCAGCTATACCGTCCATTTTTGGCTACCTTCTTGGAACGCACCCTGTTACCACAAAATGGGCTATCCGTGGGGTTTCTATCGAGAGTATCAATGCTTTGTCGAAAGTCTCCTCGTTGGAATTGCGCGTTTCCTTTTGGTTTGCCGTTGGGATATACGACAACAGACCCAGGCAGAGAAGAGATTGAAGTGCGAGCTGATCGGATACCCTTTCCACCGCCTCTTAGATCGCTGACGAACGATTTGTCCTCGTCTTCGAATTCGTCATCGTAAGGGAAATCTTCTATTTCTCCCTCACCGTACTCCGTATCCCCAGAACTTCCTCTTGATCTAGGTTGTGATGTAGATGAAGGACTGTATCTATACTCCGCATTGCCTTCCGCATGCCCGTTGGCGCCCTGCCCATGCGGCTCTGGTCCTGCATCCGCATCGTCCATTGAATTACTGCCCTCGTCCCAGGATTTGTGCTTTTCCTTGAGCTCCACTGGAGGCTGTAGAGCATCGGTCGTAGGGCTGCTATCCGTTCCTGCGCCTATCCCCGTCTTGTCCCCAGGTGTCTGTGGGATGCTCATGGCCAACTGGGAGCTGTGCAAGTATCTCTCGACCGCAAATTCGTGCGACGTGAAGGTCTACAAAAGGTGATATAAGCCGTGGTTGGTCTCGCTGTAAACAAAAGTCAATACTCGGCGGAGAAAGGGGGATGAGATATCTTATCTGCATACGTCAAAACATTTACAAGACAGTCCCTAATAAATAAGCAATATCTAACGGAGAAAAGAAAAATATCCCACCGTACAATCCAATGGCTGGGATTGCATACCAAAATTTCGGTGAGCTTTTTTTTCCCCTTTCATGATGATGTGGCTGGGATGTCTGCTCGTTGCCAGGGACAACCAAGTGTTTACTTGAAACTCATCAACAATTACGATGTGTTCTGCTTATAATTACATGGTATTAAAAGAAAAAAGACAAAATGAAAAGCAAGCTGCCAAAACCCGCTATTAACGATCTGATCATACCTAGCAATAGAAAACGCTCATGATATCATCGCTCATAAACTAGAATTGGAACATACAAATAGAAGTATAAGTATTCAAACGAAAATGCGAGTCCTCAGCGTTGGAGATCGCCAAAGAAATGCAAGACATCTTCAGGTAGATATTCTAGCCAAGGCATGAATCCACCTTCAAATGCAAATGGGAAATTCGACTGATCCTGAAGGGTATTCACATCAATATCCTGACTTTCGATGGTGAGGTTCTGAGCATTCAGGGGCACGTTGTCGTACCCGGGAATATGTGTATTGTCCAACACGGCCATGGCTTGGTTACCAGATGGAGATGGACCGTGGAAGTTATACTGCGCGTTGTTGCCTCGCGGCAATGGCGCGCTGGGTGATACGGAGTGCTGAGAGCGAGCCAGGGATGCGGATGGACCAGTCAACCCCGGACTGTGCGTTAGACTGATGCTTGTGTTTGAGGGAGACGGACGGTCAGTTTGAAGATGTGAATAAGGGGGTGAGAGGGTGTTTCGTTGGGCCGGGGGAGATAGTTGGGCGGTTCTTCTTGGTTGGCTCGGAGTCTCACGGCTCTGGAAGGGATGCATCGGCTGTAGGTTAGATGTGGGGGAGTGTTCAAAGGAGGGTTGGAACTGGACAGTTTGTGTAGGCGTGTCGGCTGAAGTAGTTTGGAGTTGATATAAAAAACTAAGGTTCGGTTGAGATGAGTTGGTAGCGCCGGTTAACGACCAACCAATAGCTATGAGGGGTTAATATAAACTAGTACATCATGAATATATGGTCTGAACTATGTATACTTGCCTTGGCTGGGATCAATATTCGCCGACTCCATGACGTTAGGAGCGGGAACATTGGAAGGGCTAGGTCGAGGGGCGTCGCTGGTGGGTTGGGCACTTTCATTACGAGCCTGCTGAGCGACTGACTTTTTCCATGCCAAAGCCAGAGATGTATCAACGTCAGCAGCGCTCTCCATTTCCTCTTCCGTATAGAGTAGCGGGTCCCATATTCCTTTAGATTTTTGATCTAGGGCCGTGAGTATATATTTTATACCCGCCCAGGACTTTTCTAAAGACTGGAGGGCCTTGTAACACCGCTGGTAGTTCTCCTTTGCAGCGGCTGCTAGAAGAGAGTGTTTAGGATTTGAATCACGTTCGGAACCTGTAGGGCGCTCAGCTTGAGAAACAGGAGGTTTGGATAGTTGGTTTGGAGGTCCAGCCTTTGATGGCGGACTTTCAGCCCTAGACGAAGGAAGAGAATAGAAAGCGCTCTCCATCAGAAATGCACAGGCTGCAATGTAAATGGGCTGGCTGGTGAACGGGTTTCCGGTAAAGCTTTTAACATCAATCAGTTCTGCAAAGGCAAGGATATCGGCAATTGTTTTTGCAGAGGATATAGACAGTTCTCGGCTGTTTGAAAACAACTGTTGTATCTTGCCGCTAAATGAATGCAATAGTGTTGGCTGATGGAGGAGCACGATGAGGGTGTGAAACCACTACTAAATATCAGTATTGCTCTGCTATGCAGTGCCTAAAGATACTTACGAAATGTAGCAGGATGAAATTAGTCCCCTGACCGGCCTTCACATATGTCTGGAAATTGACAACATTGAAGTGTAGTTTGGGAGACAACTTTTGATATATGCCTAATAAATCAGTCAGTATCAATATATTTTCCGACGACTTATAGAAGTTTTAATAGAGAGTACCTGTTAGATCACTTTCCATTCCTGCTAAACGGCGAAGGACGTCTGGAGTGACATGATTGACTTCTTTGATCGAGTTCAACAAATCTGTCATCCGTCCGTAAAGATGTATGATTCTCATCAAGGGAGGATACGGCGACGGCCAGCCGTTATGGAGAATCGATTCAGAGTCCAGCGGGAAATGTATTTCGATATCATCGTCGCGGAGAGTCACTGGTCTCCCAGTACCAGAAGATATCACCCTGTCGAGAAAGAAGATGCTCCAGAACAAGTCGACCTTTTCTCTCTCCTTTGCTCGTTCTATCTCGACAGACTCTTTGTCAGAACCGCTCTCGGTGCCAGGCTCATCTTTTCTATCGGCGGAAGAAGCAGAGGCTTCAGGATCAACCATCTGCCCGGCTATGACGGCCTTGGGAGTTAGGCCAACACAGCCATATCTGAACTTCATGCCATCAAGCTTCTGGATCCCAAGGTCCTGTGCCATCCTGATCGATATCCCGAGATACATCCAGAGGCCGCTGTCATGGTTCGACCCGAATTCTTCATAGGCAAGGAGCAGGCAGGCCTGGACTACGGCCAAGGTTGGACAAGCAAGTGCATCGACAACGGCGCACATTGCACGGTGAGCAAAAGCTTGTCCATGGTGAGGATATGTGGCCTCGTCTGACGGTCCAGCGGATAGTAAAGGATGAAGAGAGAATCTTGCTGCCAGGGCGCACACTGCATCTACTAGTATGGCTGCAAGCTGCTTTTCTTTCAGGCTACGAAGGAATCTATCTCGCTGCAGGAAGGGAAAGCTGCAGCCTAGATGCGTAAAGAAGACTTCACATAGATGGGTCACTATTTCGCTGTTGGGAAGCGTATCTTCAGGGTCATAGAAGTGTATACTGTTCGAGCTGCCAGAAGTACTCAACTGTGAGGCCCCAGCCGGGTGAGTAGCGGTTGGATCTAGGATAGAAGATGCGGAGTCTGACGCGTTCGGCATTAGAGACATTCGAGGTTAGACAAGACATTGGCTGCTCACCGTTTGAGAGAGAAGGATTGCTCTTGCGTGTTTCTCGAACCCGAACAACCTGAAGTATGCCGCTCGTTAATAAACTAGATCTCCATTCCCTCGGGGGTAGCGACCATACCATCTGCTTATATCCGGGGACGATGGCTGTCGGCCCAAAATACCTAAAGTAAGGGACATGAGTCCGGTGGCTCGAAATGAGGGCAGATCGAGCTATAGAAAACGGATCAGCATTCCACCCTGTTGACCACGAATCAGGCGTCCGTAAACCCACTGCTCTCTGGACTATTGATCACAGGCGCAACGTCCTCCACATGTATCTCCCGGCGAGCTTCTTGCGCTCGCTCGGCTGCATCAGCTACCAGCTTCTGCTCGCGAGTCTCTGTGCCGGGACCTGAAACGCTGCGCCCAAGCACTTCCGGCTCACTCCTCTGCTTCTGGCCGGCCGACGTCTCGGTATTTCCCTTTTCCTTTACGTCTGGCTGTGGTGCTGGCCGGGCGGTGTTGGAGGAGGATGCGGCCGACTGGGCATTCGTAGGCTCGCTGTATCCCAGACAGGTGTGTCCATAATCCGTACACGTCTTGCAAACTGTTGGTATAACACGAAACTGCTCAGCAAAATGCTCTCTAACACCATATTATCATCCGTAATGTTGTTGTCAAGGTTGAGATACCTGGTTTCTCACCAGAGCACCGGCTCTTCCGCTTTCGACATGTTCGGCAGCTATAATAATTTGTGACCACCGTCAGCGACAAAATCTACAAGCAAGATAAATATATATACAAAAAAACAAAAGAAAACAACAAAGCACTAACGCTGCGATCACCCTGCGCCGCTTCGTCTGCGGCTGGCCATCTGACGACACGAATCTGATCGGTCTTGGTTGCGAACCGCCTGTCCGTTGAGAGGGCGGCTGGCTCATTCTCTCAGGTCATGGGCTATATATTTGTTCTCCTGCGCGCCTACAGGACAGGAACCGACTGCGCGAGACCCCCAGAGGTGAAGATGTGACGATAGAAAGATGAAGTGAGCATGGTCGGGGAGGTTGATGTCGTTTAATAGTCGACTTTTGGCCGGGTCAAGGGTTTTTTTCCCTTCTTTTTTGCTTCTTTGAAAGCCAAGTCTGCGCCATAATTTACTACGATCCAACTAACTACATAAAATACTTAGCTGTGCCGGCAGTTCTAGGCCGAAGAGCTCGCTAAGTTATTCAGACTTTCTATACGAGTGTGGATAGCCTGTCAATTTATGTGTTATTTGCTAAGGTGGTGCACAGGTCGGGCTGGCGAGCCATTCCTTAAACCCTGAACTCCCAGAGACACGACGAACTCGGGCTGTAGGAAATTGGTGTATGAAAGAAAATACGGTGACGAGTAGGGTGACGGTGTAGGATCAGAGGACCAGGGGATCTGACTGGATATCTGCGTATCTAGGCAGGGTTTCATCAAAGACAGCTCGAGCATC